TTCTCCTGTAATAATAGAACATACTCTTTTACTGACTTAGGTTTACTGGTCTCCCAAACACTCCAGCAGGAGAATAGCTGTGTCTGTGTATAGGAGTGAATGACCGATAGTAACCTTTGGCGTTCCCTCACCCCCCCTCCCTCCTGTTGTCTCTGTCTCCCATAGGGCACTGAACAAAGACATTTCCTCTCATATCAACACGTATTGACTCATCCAGGCCACACCGCTGGATCCCAAGGGTGCAGGGACCACTAGAGGAGCTCCTCAGCTGACCCCAAGGATCTGGCTGTGGACACCTGTGTGATGATGAATATGCACTAACTATTTACAGGTAAGGACTGGTCAGTGTATACTCTCTGCTTTTAGGTCAGTGTGTGACTAGATACTGTTACCAGAGGTGGCTGAGTGTGATGTACTGTCTCTAAGACAATATAAATATGAGAGGAAAAAGACTCAAATATGGACAAATCATTTTTGAATGATTTTTTTAATATAAAAATTTGTAGTTCAAAATTAGACAGGCCGAATGTGTAATCATGATAATAACGTGCAAATTAGGGTTAGCAAAAGTATCAAAAATCCAATACACTACAATACACTTGATACTAAAACTATTGAAAGTAGGTACTCATTTAAGCAGGTATCAATACCAATGAGTCATATTCATAGCACCGAATTTAGATTGATCTTGAGCTGTATCAGAACAACTATAAGAACACATAGACTAGTATACACCCACTATGGAACCTACCAGGACCATTGAGGGATTACACAGATATAAGGCCACATTGGAATATAAAAGAAAATGTTGAAAAATGTTGAAAATTACATTCTAAATAATTATCATGGTTTTATAATCAGTATGAAGTCCATTTCTTACTATTGAAATAGAGTTTATTAATTATTAATTCTAGTAATAGTGACAACTAGGGCTGGGAATCCCTCACGATTTGATACTCAATGGTACATGATATCATATAACAATATGGCCATGCGATAATCAACTAATAATTGCACATGATATTCTGCACTATATCACTATTTTTAAGAACCAAATACATTTTTAATGGCTACTTTTGCAAAGTCAATACAGAATAAACCAGTTGTAACCATTAAAACAGTGAATATGTGTGTTTATTGCATAAGCAAATTTCCTTTCTTTGAACAAACATTAAAACTGTAGCACTGTCATAAAATAGTTTAGTAAAATATACCAAAAAATAGTCTTGGTGATATATTGACACAGCAGCCCATGATAACAATACTGTATCACTAAATTTAGTATCACGATATTTTAATATTTTTGCACACCCCTAGTGACAACACTACTGCAGATTAATATTCAAAACTTAAATAATTGTTAACTAATTTGTATAGTCTAGATAATATTTTAATACCAGACTCCAAAACATGCCATGTGTTGAGAAGTTTCAATACCTGGTCAAAGCAAACTGCATCAAAATGACAGAAAGTGAGTAGATTTTGTGTTTTTGATGGAAAAAAAACAAACAAAAAAAACAATTTTTGTCTGTAAGTATCCTCAATATTCAAGTGGCATATCTATAGCAACCCTATAGCAGCTATATCACTTATAGCAACTGTCCATGGGTTTCAGAATGACTGAAAAATTAGGAGTATTGCCAAAGTGATTAACAGTTTGCTTAGTAGTAAAATTAGGTTTGAAGTTTTACTAACATAACAAACTAAACCACAAATAAACTTCAGAAAACTTCAGAAAACTTCTTCTCTTCTTCGAAATATAAGGGCCATTTATTTTTCAATATTACCCTTTAATGGTTTATACATGGAATAACTACACAAATACTGTGTTACTCTTAAGTTTTATTGCAGCAGCCTCAACTGAAATCTCCAATTAAAATCTGGTTTTATTAGAAGACCATATAAAGATCTAGGTCACAACCATAGAGCCACGAACAGAACGAATTGCACAGCAGCAACTTGGGAATAAAATACAGGAACGACAAACAAGTGGTGTGTGCCCAAGTCAAATGCTTTTGATAAGTTTTTTAACTCACATAAAATATTCAAACGGGTGGTATAATGCAGTATGTCCGAGGAAAAATATGTGATCTTCTATTGTGCTGAATTTCAGAAATTGTATTAGAAAGTATTAAGTTTTAGTATAAAGTATTAGTTAAAGAAAATAGGACCCACAAAGTTTTTTTCTATGTTTACTATGAAGTTTTAAACATCAGCTAAATAAACCCAGCTTTATGATTTGATCTTTGCAGTCATTGGAATTGTATTTTACTTTTTTTTTTTTTTTACATTTCTTTACTGTCTGTGATCCTGGCCAAATATGACATGCCAGTGAACTGCAATGGTTCATCTGACAATATGTGTAAAAATAGTGTGACACCTCTAATACATATATGACAATATGAGAGAGAATTACTTTAACATTATTAATCGGTTGATGGTGTCTTAGTCAACTAATTGTGTTATTATTCAAGTCATTATTTTCTTAAATTCACCAAGAATTTCTTATTAGACTATAGACCTACATTACAGTACTTATGTTCACATGCAGACCAACATCTGATTATAATCTATTTTCTGGACATTTAAATTTATTTGATAATGATACTCATATCACAAAATCTGGTGTGAGTAATCAGAGGGACCATTATCAGTTTATCTGAAAATAATCTGACCTATTGTGCATGTAACCACAGCCAAGTCACAAATCTGTTTGTATGTTTGTATTGTGATTTGAATGTCTTTCTTAATCTGTAAAGCATTTTGAATTACTTTGTATTAATTGTGCTATACAAATACACTTGCCTTGCCTTGTGTGGACCAAAACCATAAAAAAGATCAAATAAAGAACTGTTTTAGGCAGTGGTTTGTCACTTCTCTTAAATGTAATTTTTAATCTGCTAGATCTCACATATCTGGATCATTTTGTTCTCTTGTTGTCTTCTGCTATGTCTCTGTGGTGTAGGATAAGAATAGCCCCTCCATGCCTGGCTGTGCTGCTGAATCAGTTCCTTATAAGAATGAGCACTTTCATTTCTGTTTTTACAGCCTACTGGCTTTCCTCTGCTCTGCTGCTTTTCAAAGGACCACATGTAAAAATAACATGTCACATTGTACGATGTGTCATTGCGTATTTTTAATCTTCCTGTATATTGTCAGCTAAACCTTGCCTACATGGTTCAATGGAATATGAAGCTATGTAAATGAGTCTGTGGTGCCTTTTATACATAGTGATAACCAAATATAACATTAAACGGCCCATATTCTACTCCGCCACTAAGAGGTAGCATGCTCCGTTGGGTCATGAAAAAATTCAAAATAATAGTACAAGGGTTGAACTGAAATCTCAGCAGGAAATGAATGCCCTGACCAAGACCGTCTTGCTTGTTGAAACTCAGTGGCATCCCTCCCATGTAAATTTCTTTTTTATAGTTTCAGTAAGTGTGCCCTCAGGTTTGTACCTTGCCTATTTTTACATTTCAAGTAAGGGCCACATTCTGCTGACATTCTTTGAATTGTGGTTTGACGCAAACAGAAAACAATTTGTTCCACCTTGTGATGCCCTGTGGTAATACAGGAGGTACTCCACTGTGTTTTTAAACTCCATACACCTTCACTGGAATCATTTGGATAATTGCCCAGCTAATGAAAAAAAGATAAAAGATAGTGAAACTACCACTATATGACATCACAAGATGGAACAGACTATTTAGGTTTGGAAATGTAGACAGACTAATAATGAAAAGTTACTCATACATGTGTTAATGACTCCAGGTATGTTTTTGGTGATGTAACAGCACCAGCAGCAACATGACTTAAAGCTCACAAAAGTCAATTTAAAGAAACAAACAGTTAAAATCTACTGTCATCTGGCTGGCCAGTGACATTGAAATCATAAAGAGACTGCAGCATCTGTTTCTGTTACAAGTATCTCAATGTCAAAGAAGGCGTGCAGTCTTTGCTCTGTAAACTGAATATTGAAGCTGCTCTTTGAGGTATTAAATGGTTGTTTTGTTTGTGTAGGAGCAGAGTGGATTCGTAATGACAAGGGGCTGTGCAGAAGATGTCCACGCTGTCAGTGACTGATGTCCCAGATGTTGGTCATGGTAAGAGCTTTCTAAATACAACACTGGTCAAAAGTATCTAAATGGATTTAATAGACTTTTGTATTTAACAGTTCATTCTCTCTTGATTTTTACTTGCAGTTTTTGTTTTAAAGCAGACTTATTATGCAAAGTTGCCCACTGCTTGTTTTCTTAATCTGTGATACACATAAGATTCAACAGCATTACAGAGTCTGTTTGGTACAAATGAACAAAAATTTGCTTCTCGCTAGTATGATATGCAGCGATCCATCAGAGGCATGTCTTTTTGTTGTTGCCGCTTATGGCAACGTTGGCTTCTATTGGGCACTGAAGTTTTCTAACACAGAAAGTAGCAAACTAGTTTCTTTTATTCAATTGTTTTAGATTAATATTGTGATTTAAAATGTCCAAATTATAACCTAATGAGCCAATATTTTTCATTATTATAATATCAAATAACATTATTTCAGGTGGAGCAAAAACACTAAAATAAGTCTGAATTAATATGATCATTAAAATAACACAACACCTGGCATGTATTGTACACACTTAGTATCACTTATCTCTTTGTATTGCAATATGCTTTTATGTGTGCTATAAAATCTGGCCTGTACATTTCTGAGTTGTGGTTTTGCTGTTTGAATGTGGCAGATGAGAGGAGAGTGGTGGGCCGGGCCTCGGGGCTGCAGCTGGACAGTGTGGAGGAGGCCGGTGGGAGTAGCTCCATGAAGCCCGATGGCCTGCTGTCTCTGGGTGACCTTTCCCCCCCTCTCCCTCCCAACGGAGACTCCCTCAGCGGTGACATGAGCGGCGATATGAGCGGCCTGCCCATAGAACCCAACCACATCAAGCTGGACCCTGCTGCCAGCGACATCTCTCCCAGTTTAGGTACTCCTCTCTGGGTTGTCTGATGGGTTTACACCACATTGTGACCTGACCATTGTTGTTGTATGTGAAAAAAGCAAAAATGATTTATATAAATGCTCACAATAACAGTGATATAAAATCAAAGTGTGGTGTTCAAGGTTGATGAAAGAAAATTATGTGACATGACACTGGCACATCCTAACAATAAATGACTTTTATTTTAAGTCTGTGTGCCTCAGATCTTGGAATTTAGTGGTTTATATACCTTCTGAACCCTTGAAGAGCACCTGCCTCACATTAACCCCTCACCTCTCCAGTTAATCACAAATAATGCTCTGTAAAGCGTCTTTGATTGTACAAAAAGTGCTATATAAAACTGATGCATTCATTATTATTAATAACAGCAGTCTACGGTCGTTTTCACAGAGACAAGTTAGGTGGGTGTAAAAATGCATTTGCTCTGAGAGTGGTGCACTTGGGCCAGTGTGAATCCAATAGTCACATTTTGGAGCACAGTAAACTGCTGTTATAGGAGTGCTTGGAACAGGTCTCGGAGCGGCTCCACTCACACTCTGCAAAGGGACGACTATGGTATGAACATGGTACAAGTAAAAACACTTGGACTTGGGCAAAAAAGCACTCCAATCATGTGTATTTGTCTGAATGGGCAGTTGGGCACCACAGGACTGTATAATTTGTTCATCTGACAAGTCAGTTTGGATCAGCTTATCTCCTCCTGCCTCTGTCTGTGCAGGTGAGTGTGGGTCTGTCTGTGTGTTGTTCAAAAAAGCTTTTTCTTTTCACTAGCGCATACAATCCCAGGTGTATTTAGCCATAGGTGAATGAAAAGACCACCATGTCTGTGTATAGCACCAGTGAAGTGAATGTGTGCCTATTCAATGGGCTCTGTCCTCTTAAAGTGCATTATCTTAGAAATAAGTTCAGCGATTAGCTGATGGACTTTCACATGGCTCATGGTGCATATTTGTGATGAATGATGCACGGTGTATGTGAATAAGACCAATTCAAAAGTGAAGTAAACAGAAATAAATCTAGGGTCCACTAACATGTGTAAACGACTTGAGATCAATTCAGTCCACCATGTCTTTAGGAAGCTGTTAGCAAAAAGTGATAACTTTTTGAATGTAGAAACTTTCAGCCTTTGAAAACTGTATGTAACAAGTTTAATTTTCCTTTTGGTTTCAATATTACACATACACCATTTACACAAAAAATTTAGAATATCTAGAAGATTCTCATGGTGTTTGATCAGCAGCTTTATGTTATTCTTATTTGTGAACTATTTTAACAGAAACTAAGGACTGACACGATAATTACCATTTCGACTTATTGTTCGACATATGAAACATGGAACTTTGGATGGAAAAGAATTATTTTTGGGGTCAGTATTTATCATGAGTACTTTTTCTTTGTACTAGTGTGGGAGTTTTTATTTTTCTGTACTGCCATTAGATTTCATCTGAAAAGGGTTGAATAAATAACTTCTAAATGTACAACAGAGTTAAAATAATGAATCATAGAATAGTTTTTTTGGGATAAGCCTTTTTGGTTGTGTCGGTGCATAAATTCTTTTCAATATTATTGTGTATTGTCTATCTTCAGCAATTTTATGCATTGCTGGGGGTGTTCTACATGTGTCTGTATGGTGGAATGTACTGCAGTTAGGGACACAATGCAAACATTAGCAAAAACTGCCAAAAAACCCCCAAAAACTTTCATGTGTGTTTAGGTGTTTAATTTTCAACAAAAAAGGTGAGAGTGAATGAAAAACTTATACTAGCTAGCAACAAATTTTTAGTGTGAGAAACTTATTTAACAGTACAAATCATTTCACCTATTGTAATTCAAAAACTTTTACTTGCCAGAATTTGTTAAAAAGCTCAGATTAAAGTCCACTAGAGTGAGAATAGTGCTCCCAGTTACCATCACATCTCCATGACTGCAAAGTATCAATGTATTGTACTTCAAAATGTGTGATCATGACAGGCCTAATGAAGCATAGTGAAGAAAACTGTGTGTGTGTGTGTGTTCAGATGGTCAGCCGGTGAAGAGGAAGAAGGGCCCTGCTCCCAAGATGCTGGGGAACGAGGTGTGCAGTGTGTGTGGAGACAAGGCATCCGGCTTCCACTACAACGTCCTGAGCTGTGAGGGCTGTAAGGGCTTCTTCCGCCGCAGTGTCATCAAGAGCGCCCAGTACTCGTGCAAGAACAACGGCCGCTGTGAGATGGATATGTACATGCGCCGCAAGTGCCAACAGTGTCGCCTGCGCAAGTGCAGGGAGGCCGGCATGCTGGAGCAGTGTGAGTATGCCAGTGCTTCTGCCCGCACGAGGGGGCAAACACACATGGGGTACTGCCTACGGCTCATACTGTATGACTCTAATCAGATGACGGAGATTTGAGTCCTTTTCTGTATGATGTTTGTAGTTTGGTGTGCATAGGTAAAGGAAGCCATTAGTTGAATATAATATTGAGTTCTAGAATCTGCCAGATGGGGAGCAAGAGACTTTTTTTAGTTTCATATTGATTTCATTGTACTTCCACTTTCAGGGCACTCAAAGTGCTTTACACCAAGGAACCACTCACCCACCCACCCACAAACACATTAATCTCACCGCCAACCTGTGGCTTGTGTCATTTCTATCGTCTCGTCTAAATCATCCTGGAGTAGACAGATTGAGAAAATTTTTTTAAGAATGCAGATCTCCAGTTTATTTATAGAAATAAGTTAATCTGTAGTGTCAGACAAACTAGGAACGTTCACTTTGACAAGTATAAACAGAAATGGCACAATTAAATTTTATGTAAACCAAAATTAAGAACATATATTTTAATTAAAGACTGTTTTGGTCCTGAGGCGTTTGTCACCCTTGAACCTGAGCAGAGGTCAGAGGTCAGTATGTGCCCAGTTGAGGTGTGGGACTCTGTCTTGGCCGTGGAGATGGGACGCTTCCATTCAGTCCCAGAGGAGGAGTGCACATGTGCTCTGTGTTATTTAAAGGATATTGAAAATGAAATGCACTTTCTGTTCTACTGTCCTTTGTATCATGACCTGTGCTGTCAGTTATTGTCTAATGTATCTTACTGTTGGTTTGCTGTGTCTGATGAGAAGAGACTGGAGAATTTGTTTAAATGTAATGTTTTCAAGTTGGTTCAGTTTGTGTCAAAAGCCTGGGACCTCCATAAGAGCACACTTGCAGGCTGGGCACCAACTACATGGTGCATGACACTAAATAAATCAAATAAACATAAAAAAAACAAACAAACAAAAAAACTATTATTGACTAGACCCTAGCACAATGACATTACATTTTAACAAAATTAAATTTACCCACTTGATTTGTATTAAATATTACTGACTAAAAGAATGTTGTGATGTCATCTGAAACCCACCAGTGCGATACTGAGGTCAATGCAATGAGACTAAATATTACACAATACACAAATGTCCATCTAATGTCACGTAGGAAAGGAGCTTTTATTTACCTGAAAACTTTTCAGGTAAATAAGAATATGCAATCAAATTCAAGGTTAAGATAAATTATACTACACATCACTGTGTCAGAAGAGTAAAACAGCAAGTGAATTGTGTCAGTAAAGATTAACATTATGTCACAATATTAGACAAGATACAGCTAGATCTGTCACGAGAAATGCTAAATCGACTTCTCGTTCAATATATGAAAGATGGAACAATCTTTTTTTGGGATCAATGTTTATTGTGAGTGCTTTTTCTTTGTTGTAGTGGGGCAGTTTTTTCTGTACTATGAGACGTCAGTTGAAGAGGTTTGAATAAATAACTTGTATGACTCATTCTATATGTATCCTAACTACTAAAGTCAGGATTCTAAAAATAGAATTTTTTGGGGGGGATAATCCTGCTTTTTGATTATTGCGTCAGTCAGCAATATATCACACTTCAAAATGTGTTATTGTCATTCTCATTCTCAATGAAACATATTAGATGTCTCCTCAACTGAACGTTGCATTATGTACTCGGCTCTCAATATTCCAAACCTGTATTGTTCAGGTGTGCTGTCAGAGGAACAGATCCGACTGAAGAAGCTGAAGAAGCAGCAGGATGATGAGACCGCACGTTCCTCCTCAGTTGTGACCCCCACCCCTCCCCCTGACCCTGCCACCCTGGACCCTCAGCAAGAGGACATGATCCAGAAGCTGGTGGCCATGCAGAAACAATGCAACAAGAGGTCTTTTCTGGACCGACCCAAAGTTACTGTGAGTACATACTTCTCCAGCAGATCCATTTTTACCCCTCTTGTGTGTCAGTGTTTTGTCCCCCAGGCTTCAGGTTTGTGTCTCTCTATAGTGCATCTTTGTACACATGTTTACATGTGATGTAAAGTCTAGCCAAGATTTGGTATATTTTTGGCTTATTATAATTTGGTCATATTTTATATTTCTCCCCTTGTTGATTTGAACATGACTGATAAAACATAATTCTGTGATTTGTCATAATTTTGAATTTGTGAGTTTTGATGGGATATGTGAAACAGTATCTTATTTTAATGCGTGCTTACAAATGACAATGAATTGAATCAGAATTTGAGACACTAGGGTAACTGAAATTGCCAAAGACAAATTTCCCATTGGGACGATAAAGTATATTTGTTGCATATTCTTGCATTCTTGTTTTGACCTGTGCCTTGAATAGTAGAGTGGTTTTAGTTGACCCAGCTGTGTTTATAGCACTGTGCAATCTTGGTCATTTAGCAACAAATAAGCCACTGGACAGCCACTCACTCTCTCTGTCCAGGTTTTAACTAGAAGTGCATATTTTTCTTGTGTTCTTTTATTCAGACACAGAGGACAGGCATTCAGTGTAAAAATCTATCAAATTATCATGTGTCTGGTTTGTTGTAGTTTCTTCTAACAACTAAAGGGAAAGCTATGCTTTTTCTATTATTGTCGTAAATTACAAGCTTATTGCTCTGAAAATTCTTGTGTGTTGCAGTGCCTGTTAGGGTTTTTAAAAGTATAGAAAATCAGATGCTAATTGATCAATACTGAAGGAAATCACATCACACTAAATATGAGCTTTCCTGAGCAGTTTAAGTATGCATTTGAGCTTTATCTGAACAAGTATAAGACCTAATGGTAGAATAAAGAAAGTGCCCTTATTTATATAATATGATGTATATATGTATGATGCCTAATAATTTCTCTTGTGGATCAATAAAGTTTGTTTAATTCAGTCTTATTTTGGTTTGATAATTACATTCTATCGTGTTGATTATTGTAATCTTCATTGTGGTATTGCAATTGGTATTGAGTCTTAAATCAATTCTTTAGTATCAAAATCAAGTGTGAAATTTTTCCTTGACAACACTCATGCCTGTATATAATGTTCATGTATTTTGCTGTGTTGCAGCCGTGGCCTCAGAGTCAGGACCTGCAGAACAGAGAGGTGCGGCAGCAGCGCTTCGCTCACTTCACTGAACTGGCCATCATGTCCGTGCAGGAGATCGTGGACTTCGCCAAGCAGCTCCCCGGCTTCTTGGAGCTGACCAGAGAAGACCAGATCGCTCTGCTCAAGACTTCCACTATAGAGGTGACACATTCACAGCACTTACAGTGTGTTTGAACATATCCAAAGTAAGGCAAGAAATGACAGCAATTCATAAAGATTTTACAACTACATGAGTATATGATTATACGGTATAACACTAGAGAACAGAGGAACCTACAAATTAGCTGAACATTGAAATATTTAAGGTTCAACACTGACCCCTGAAGGACACTAGCGGTAATGCAGTTATCTATTCTTATACAGTGAAGATACAAGTAAATATATAGGATGTCTTTATTTGATTTTGTATAAATTCGTATCACGTTGGTCTGATTGTTTACTCACTAAGCATCTTTGTGTCTATCAGATTATGCTGCTTGAGACTTCCCGGCGGTACAACCCTGCCATTGACAGCATCACATTTCTGAAGGATTTTAGTTATAACAAGGAGGACTTTGCAAAAGCAGGTACTGTTTCGTTATTATGTTTACACAAATGTGCCCATGGTGTAGTATTTGACCTGTTTTGTTCATTAACCTCAGGGCTCCAGATTGAGTTTATCAATCCCATCTTTGAGTTTTCTAAAGGAATGAATGACCTCCATTTGGACGAGGCAGAATACGCCCTGCTCATCGCCATCAACATCTTCTCCGCAGGTCAGTGTGTAACTTTGTTGTATTAGTAACTCTTACTTCAGTCTAAGTTTTGCTTACCGTTCCACTGTTGGTAAGTCTACAAGTGAGCATCTGTGTTTCTGGCACCTGCAGATATTTTTCTCATTTTGTGGTCTATCCTTTGAAAATACCAGATTTCATGGTTTGTCAGATAATCCTCTATTGAGTAAAAATATTTTAAGTAATGTTGCTCTTTTGTACAGTTTTTGGCTTATTTACCACCTCCTTTTTTGTTTCCCTTTAGACCGACCCAACGTCCAGGACCACGAGCTGGTGGAGAGGCTGCAGCAGCCCTATGTGGACGCTCTGCGCTCCTACATCATGATCAAGAGACCAAATGTAAGAGTTCTGTTTAACAAATACACCACCACATTTGCATAGAAAAAGCAAGGGTCAGTGCTGAAGTTACATAATAAATCCATGATTATTGATAAAAAATGAATGAAGTACTGAACTTAACACTACAACTAATGTACAGACAGTTTTGTTCGTCTCAAGCATCAAATGACTGACTAAAACTACATTTACCGTATTTTCCGGACTATTGAGCGCACCTGAATAAAAGCCACATCAACTAAATTGTAACAAAATTTTTAAAATTGTACATATCTAGGCTGCACCTGAATATAAGCCGCAGGTGTCCATGTCTTCAAGAATGTTAACAAGGGCCGTCTGCTTTTATCGCCTCAAAGCTTTTGTTGTCTTTTTGCATTGAGTCAGCTCGTCACTCTGCCGTCGCCAAAATCTCACCAACGACTCATTGATGCTGAGCTGACGTGCAGCAGCTTGATTTCCTTCTTTGACAGCCACATCAGTCGCTGTTAACATAAAAGCTACATCATCTGCATTTCGTCAGGTGTTTTCCATGAGGAGGGTGTGTGTATGAAGCACAAAATAACTATTCAAAACACAATCAAATGAGCATCTTCCTCGGCGCATCACCTCTGTCTCTCCCCGCACTCTACTGCGCATGACTCTTGCAAGCGCTGCTGTCATGTCAGTGTCTTGGAGGATTTCAGCAGATTTCAGACTCTCTCGGGGGCGGGGTTAGTTCTGTCAATCAGGCATGAGTGGATGTCCGTCTACTGAAGTTTGAGACGTTTCTTCTCGTCGTTTACGCATACGGGTAAAACGTATCCCCCCTCACTAATATTCATTTAGCATCGTAACTTATTTTATCAAACGGCAATAAACTATTTGAGTGCACTGACAATATCGCAAGCTAGTGTAGCACAGACAGCGGCGTTTTCTGCACTCAGGCTGCGCGTATCCGCTGTGTTGTCAAACCATAGACTATATATTAATGGACAATGTGCCTGACAAAGTGCCAGACAAAGCATCCGTCCATGTATTAGCCACATCATTTTATTAGCTGCAGGTTTCAAAGTGTGAGTAAAAATTAGTGGCTTATAGTCCGGAATTTACGTCCATTTCTGGTCACAGTGATTATTGCTCATTGATTTCTTCTGTGCAGTCTTCAAGTTATAAAATCTTAAATCTCTCCAAGTCATATGGTAAACCACATCTGGGGACATAAATCAAAAATCATACAAAATCAAAATTATGTACTGTATTATTATTAGTGCTTCAAGATACGACACTCTTCGCTGTTGCCATCAGAAGGCATCAGACACCAGAAACAAAAGTGTAACACCATGTATGGAAATTGTGAATCTGTGCAAATTGTGAAAGGTCAGTGCCAAATGTGTCTTAGTTAGGGTTGTCAGAAGTATTGAAGAAACTAATCAATACTTAAATAGTAATAAAACTAGATATTCATCTGAACCAGTATTAGTACTAAAAGTCGCATTCACAGGACAGAGCAGAACCTTTCCTTGAATAGCTTTAGAATGTTCTTGAGCTGTATCAGAACACGTATAAGAGCACATAGACTAGTATACACTATGGAACCTACTTGGACCACTGAGGGATTACACAGATGTAAGTGATTTAATGTTGAAAATCACATTCTATTGTCTAAAGAAAGAGTGTTTGTTTAATCACTGTGGTCCTGGAATCAGTATTGAGTATCGAGTCTATTCTTAGTGTTGAAATAAGAGTTTGAAATTTGAGTATCGTGACACTAGTCCCTGTATTAAAAAGTTCCTTTGTGTTTAGGACCACCTGATGTTCCCACGGATGCTGATGAAGCTGGTCAGCCTCCGTACATTGAGCAGTGTCCACTCAGAGCAGGTGTTTGCACTGCGCCTCCAGGATAAGAAACTGCCCCCTCTGCTGTCCGAAATCTGGGACGTGACCGAGTGAAGGTGACCTAGTGAAGGTGACCCAGTGAAGAGGCTCTGCGGGCTGCACACTCTGCTAACACAGACTTTGAGAGAGGAAAGAATGCTCTCATTCAGGCCACACTGTTTTCTTATGGACACTAGTTTGGAGCCTTTTTATTCTATTGATTTTGGCAAATGTGGGTTGGTTATGGCAAGATTACCAGCATCAGTTTAGCTTGTTGTATTTGAATAATTATTATAAAAACCACAACTTCCATTTTGTATCCTAACTGACTGCAGGTTGTGAATGCAGCTGTTACTAGAAATGGTCAAAACTGAATTGCATTTATATTAGTAGATCATTGTAACATTCAGTGTGTATACATGCAAGCTGTGGAACACAAAGACTCGATTCAGAAAGGTTTTAAAAATATGTTAACATGCAGACAAAGTCATTCACATTTCTCTCAATCGCTTTAATACTCCTGGATAATCCATGTATTTTTAGATTTTGGTGATTACGGCTTAGAGGGAAAGCTGCTGTTTTGGTCTTCAATATAAAAAAGTATGACTAGCATAGCATCAAATTAATTTATGTGCCTTTAGGATAGTCTGTTAACAAGTAAGAAATGCACTTCCTAATGAATGTGAAAGTCAACATCATATTTCCAGATGACATTGTTACCACAGAGAGGGTAATCTAATGTAATACCTACCCTGGTAATGATCTGGAGAAAATGTTAAATAGTGATAAGCGCTTTTCGTTTTGAATGCATTTTAATACTCAAACACAGATATATCATATCTGTGAAATGTGGCTGCCTGAAGGATACCTTTAGTTACCTTTAGTTACCTCTTGGAGGCCACATAAAATGATAAGTATTAGTGTAACCTACCTAAGCTGTATGTATACAAACTGAATGTTACATTTGGACGGTGATACTCTGGATATTAAAGCCTCGTCCAGTGAATGTTCCTTCAGGGGTTGCACAGGGGAAATGATTAGACCTTACAATTTCTGTGGTGGAAATACGTCATTTTTGGTAGAGGTTTGTTCAAAAGGGACCCTTTTGGTCATGTGTAGATGCCTAAATGTATGTAAATGGCATATTTAACTTCACAGTATGTTAGAATGCACATGGAGAATGCACATCCTGATATTGTATAATTGCATTGTAATGCACACAGAAGTTCAGAGTTCATATAGTTGAAAGAAATGTGACTGACGCATTATGAGCATTTGGTTGACACTGCAAAAAATAGGAATAGGAATATTACTCTTAATATTTTGCAGTGGATAACTTCACAATAGCACACAGTGGTTGACATTGGTTTAGGAATTGTTGCTACAATCTGGAACGGGTCGTTTATTCATCCGCATTGCTTTGGCTAACATTGCCAACCGTTATCACAACAATACAATGAACCAATGCTGCTTTCAGGATTCAATTAATACTTGATAACTCTTAATGCATAAAAATTGTACATATTTGAATGAATAATTATTAAGTCTCTACCATGCTAGAAATTCAAGATTTACTATTTAAGTCCTACTTAAAGTGCTTTCTGTCGAATTAGAATGCTATAATTAGTTTCCAACCTACATGGTAAAATCAGATTTCTTTGTTGGTTGGTATAGTCTTTATTTAACATATCAAACTCCAGCTCTGATTACTGTATAATAAACTGAGGGTCAGCAGAAGTACAAAGTTCTAATACCGGCAGGTCTGGTCTTTACTAATCAATATGTGCGTAAATCATGATATTGTTATTTGGGTAATAACTTATTTTTATATAGGCTGTACAATGCATTTAACCAGCATGAAAGGACTGATTTACTTAAAGAGGGGGTATAATGCAAAATTGACTTTTTGGAACTTTGTACCTTGTTATAACGTTCCCTCATTAAAAACATACCTCAAGAGATTTTAGATGTCATTCATGCACGTTTGACTGTTTTAGTCATCTCTCCCTATTTGAACCCTCCTTAAGGTTAGCTGTAAGATTCTGTCCAATTCTCATTCCACAAGCCTTCCTACCCATGCTCCCACACAGTAATTCTCCATAAATGTACAAAAACTTGATACAAAACTGTCCACAGCAAATTTACAAACCTGGTGCAAAGTGTACTAGTTTCATTAGCAGGATGCACACTGATTGTGTTGAGACAATGCTCTGAAGGGGGAGTGGGAGACAGTTTTTGGCAAATAAAGCATTCTCAGAACAATTAAAGGTAACATTATGATTTAAAATATGTTATCTGTTAGCAGTTAATACCCCATAGAAGTATAATACCCCCTCTTTAACATAGGCTACTACAACTTTGCCTTCTCCCCTTCTTGATAACTGTTATATTTTGTGACATTCATTAAACATTTGTGTCCAAAATGGGAAAACTGGTGGCAAAAATTGTGTAGTGTAAAACTGACATGACACAAATTGACCATACAATAATAGAATGGACATTTCTCTTGTTGACAAATGGAGTTTGCTGCTTTTGAAATTGTGGGTGTCATTTTTCATTTTATGGATTTTACTAATTGCTTATTTTAATGCTAAGACGAGTTCATGTATCGTTTAACAAAGAAACGGCATAATTGTTATTTCAACTTGAGAACAAGAGAATTACATGTTTTTCTCATGTTTATTATGACTAGATGTCTGGAGCGTTTGAACTGTACATAAGATCATTTGTTTCACTGTAAAAATAGAAATGCAAACTTATTTTAATACTTCCTGTCAGTTTTATATGTACAGTATGAATAAAAGCTATTCTCTAGGTGGCTTATCTTTGTTTTGCTTATTTATTTAATTTAGTTACAACACTGGATGAGTAAATGGTGAGGGGTATTTGAAGTTATTTGTGCACAGTTGAGCAATCTTTAATCGCTTATTTTCAAGACGCCATATTTCCGATCAACCCCTATTTTTACGGCTCTGTACTTAGTTTTCTAATTTTATCGTCAAGTAGTCCTTCTGCTGCTTGCTTGACAGGTACACAGCTCTTTGTTGTGATGAGGTTTATCAGCTCCATCAGCTTCCATTGGGCACTGCTCTGTCCCACCTTGTGATGTTAAGAACTTAACATCTACCTTTTACCTTGTATGGAGATGTATGGAGTTTAAAAACAGAGGGGAACACTTGAGAGAAGAACTCGACCTAAATATGCAGGGAATGAAACAAAACACAACTCCAGCTATGTTTTTGATGAGGAAACAACATAATAACATAGATCAGAAAACAGTGTAATATGGGACTAGTCCAAGTGCTGTAAGTCTTGTTCTTTCCCTCAGGCCTAGTATTTGGAAGGGGCGGGCCATCACATCTGTCACTTGAAGAGTATTGACGCTGTTCCCAGGGGCTCCTAGTTTTTGTGTGATGTGAAGATAAAAATCTCTTTTACCATTCACTTTCTTTAGTTAGTATAGCCTAAGTTGTGAACGTATTTCACGTATTCCCAACAATCACCTCTTAAATTTGTTTTTTTGCATTTACAGTGATGGTACAATGATGAATGAAAATCTTGACTACATTTTTATTGCTAAAACATGTCTCATCCCTTTTCAACCAGCTAACTGACCTGCATGGTTGGAGATTTGGGTTTTTTTTTTTTTAATGTTAAATGTCCTTCCTGCCATGTTTAATATTGTGCCTGGGCTGAGAAGTGGATACATTTCTGATGTTGCATCTGAGGGCAAGACGCAAGAGCAAAATCTGAACCACTGACCTTCTGGTTGACAATGGCATGCTCAACTCAACTGTCACCCGACAAAATTGGACCAAATTAGGGTTTGTCCTGCTTTATTTATTTATTTTTGTTTATCATAGAGCAAAATGCAACTAGAGAGTGGATGTCCTACAATCAAATATCATATATTTATGTGATAGTCATTGGATGCTTCTATCTCACTCACATCCAGATAAGTAACATATATTTGTTTTATTATTAATATAAAACTATATGTCAATTCACAGGATCATGACAAAGCAATTTGTAGCTATGAAGATTTTATTTAAACAGAACCTAAAATAAAATAGAAAATATAAATCTCACAGACACAGAAACAAAAAATTAAGATGCAGTGGGATATTAATTCGAGATGTTTCTTGTACAAATTGTATATTTAGATTGCCTGCTTTTTATTTGTCTCTTACTGCAAATGCCTGAAAATATGAAAGTGTTTCGTTTCCAAAATGATGTCATTTGGGTTTATTACGTTCCCATGTGGTTTTGTGTAGCCTATATAGTATTTTGCAAGAAAAAAAATAAAAAATCAAATGTGTTGTGTGTCATCAGCTGGTTGCTTGCGTTTGCGGACCTCCCACCGCGGCTGATGGAGGATGTAGCGCAGGCAGCAGGCAGAGCAGGTCGGACAGAAGGACGCGCACACGGCCAATCGTCCACCGAGCGCAGACGAGCCCACGGCAGCAAGATCGCACCATGCATCCGCTGCGAGCCTCCCGGCGAGCCCCATCCGTGTGACCGCCCCGCTCATCGGGCCGATCTAGCATGCCAGTCCCATTCCGTCTTTTCCACGACAACAGCTTCCATCCACAGCCGTACGCTTCTGGCTGCCTTTCCGTGACCGAGAGGAGCACACTACGCACCGCCCAGGCCGCTCTCAGCAGCAGCCTGCCCCGGAATGAGCATTAGCAGCTAACCAGCTAATGTCACCAGGTACATTTGCTATTTTTGTAGAGTTTTTCATTCATACTCGCGTTTAATACACTCATTTTGCGTCTCGGCGTTTACTGTCCAAACGTTTACCACGATGTCACGCTGTTAAAAGTGTATTTTATTAGTGAAATGGGCTAGCTGTTGTTAGCCACTAGGAAGCTAACAGGCTAATCCATCAGTGACGTAGAAAAGCGCACGGCTATCGGAGAAGCGGAGGTGACAGGAGCATCTTTGAGCGTGGAGGATGAAAGACGGTTTTGTAATAAGAATAAATCATAAAAACGCAATAGATACATTTCAGCTTGAGTGAAATATCTGAGTTTAATACAAAATGCGTTTAATAGTAGCGACGTGACCACGGTGCCCTTGTTTTTTTACGCCAGTTACACACGCGTCTATCGATTTTACACAGACGTCGAAATTAAATAATTTAACCCACCAAATAACCATTAACTTCACCCGTAGCGTTACTCGTCAATATCTGTTTGCGTTATGTTCATTATGCGTTATATTCTGCTAAAAATGGCAGATGAAAGTGGTTAGCCTTCAGTTTTGGTCGTGATGGTGTAAATGGTGAGTACAGTAGGAGCTAAAAGGTAGGTTTAAAAAAAAATAAAAAACCGTAGAAATGGTAAGGGAGAAGTGCAGCCTGTGACGCACAACGTGACCAGATACCTTGTCATAAAAGCAGAGGATAAAATAATTTGATTGAATGTAGAATATCCAGTTCAATCCGAGTTCTACAGCACATTTTGTAAACAAGAGTTCCATAATAGCAATGCAAAACATTAAATTCTTAAAAACCACAGAATTACGTCGTGGACAAATAAAGTGAATACATAAAAATTATAAATTGATTAAATAATATCATCATTAAAAAATTACAATGGATAAAACAATTAATAAAATCAAATGAGAGGACCATATAACTCCTGCAGTGTTAAAGCAGACCTATTATGCCAAATTTACTTTTACAATCATGTTATTGTTGGTTTTCTCTTCTCATTTACTCACCCAAAGTGATACTGTATGTGAAGTGATTCGTGCATGCTTGAGCAATTTTAAATGCTTGTTTTCAAGACGCCATTTTGCATATTAATTTTTGTTTTCACCAGCATACACCCACTTCTCTGTACTTTGTCTCCAGTGTTATTTTCTTAATCTGTGATACACATAGGATTCAACAGTGACATCATTTTGGTACAAATGAAGGCAAAGCAGCTGCTCGCTAGGGTACTCTGCAGCTATACATTGGAGGTGCATGACTGTTGTAATGACACGGAAGTCAAAAGACTTGTTTCTTTTATTAAGTAATTTTAGTATATTGCATTTAAAAATGTCCAAATAATGTATAATGCAATGATCCACAGATGTCATAGATTACAACGACGTGATCGCACTTTTTGCTTCCTGTTAAGAGCCATACCACAGAGTTCTGGGCTAACTGCAAGTGATAATATGATAAAGTAGAATATGGCTTCCACACTGTTGTAGTTCATGATAGTAATTTATCATAAGCTCCAGTGTTGACAGAGAGCAAACAGCTTTGCATGTGGCTTAAATGACACACTGGTGCGCCGTAAAACGTGTATTACCAGCTATGTCCCAGGAATATAACCATGACATGTTATAAAAACTGATTGTATGTTATGGATGCTACAGTATACACAAATAAAATGAAAAGTAGGCCTGAAATATTGGCTAGGCTAGAGAGTTTATCTTTTAGAATCCAGGAACCAAATGGCAGATAAGCTGAGCCAATATTTTGAAGGTGATATATAGGGCTCATTTCCCCTAAAATATATGATTTATATATGCAATTTCTAAAGGCACTGAGCAGTGCATGTTATAGACAAACAGGAATAATAACATACTTGTGTACCATTATATCAGCTAACCACGATGTTAATACCATAATATAATGTTAATATGATAACCATGATTTTGGCTAATGTTGCATCTGTAATGTTGATCATAATAGTCGCGTGTGAGGCCAGAGAAAATGTTACACTACACTTGGGATTAAACATTTTCTAAATGTAGCTTTATTATGGTAATGCTATGCATGGTGGCAGCACTTCACGTCAGAGCTGGTGAATAACCATTTGAGCTCGGTGCTTATATAACCAGTGAGTGCTGCCTGCTCTTCACTCTACGAGATCTGTGCTCATGTGCTGCCGTAGCCTGCACTATTATGTTCGCTTGGATGTAAAAGCTCCAATAGCAAAAGTAGGGATGTCACAATATTATTTTTTACTGTTACAATTATTATGAGAAAACACATCATGATTATATGAATATTCACAATGATATCATATATTGGCATTGCCTTATAGATGATGACAATTTCAGCTATCTTTGACTAGCTTTAAGAAACCAAACTTTCTAAATGAATAAATGATAAAGTAAAGTTAATGATCTAAACAGCCAGATAAAACAGCACTTTACATTTAAGTTGACCTCCTTGCTTCTAAAATGGTCACAATTATTAATTTTTAGTTACTTCACTTATAATGCCACCTGAATGATCACAATAATGGATAAACTGGATAATCTTGACACTCCTAATCAAACGGCTCACAATATACTTATTAATTCTGATAACAAAAGATGGTGCTTGGTTCTTTTGTGTTCACTGAAACATTCCCACAGGACATTTTAATTTTTATTATTATCATTATTATTATTATTATTTTGCTATAGTCAAATTAATAATCTCAACCTAATTTACCAAACACAAAACTTTTTTATTTTTATTATATATATATATATAAATAAATTGTATAAATTGAGGCGTTAAGGGGTTTAGCTTTCATCTTTCTTACCTTGATAGTTGTGGATAAATTCTTGATGGAAGAATGTTTATCCTTTGTGGACCTTGTTGGTTGAAGATTTGGTGATAGGGCAGATTTATGAAGAAAGTGAAATATGCAAGACATTTCCACAGACATTGCGCCATAGAAAACCATTGACCGGAAGTTGTGCAGCCCTACAGGGAGGGACTTCTGGCTGTTATGAAAAAGTCTATACTGACTAAGGCTAAAACATCAATAATGGACTAATGATGAGTAGCATAGCACTTTAAACAATAATTGGAGTGGTTTTACAGACTTTAAGCCAATGCTTTAAAAGATCTTATATAACAGAGACAGTTGCATTATTAAATCAAAATGAATTGGGCCTGCCATGATAATTACAATATTGACTTATCGTTAAATATATGAAAGCTGGAGCTATACATTTTATGGCTCAATATTTATCATGGGTACTTTTTCTTTACAACAGCGGGGAGCTTTTAGCCATTTTCTAAGTAATACGAGAAGATTTGAGCTGTAGAGGGTAGAATAAATAACTGGTATGGCTAATTATCAGTTCATTCTATTTAATTGCTGCAGCACAGGCTTTTTAATTATCCTGTCAATTTCAAAATGGGTTTGGATTATCCTGCTTTGTATCAGTGGCATAATGTAGTTTCAGTATTATTGTTTGTCACACACATCTCTGTAGCAATATATTGTGCTTCAAAATCTGTTATTGTGACAGGCGTAAAAGTAATAAACCATTCCACATTTTCTACTAAAAGTAGTTGTTAGTTGCAACCCTAATATATTTTATGCTTCCTTAAAGCTGCACTAGACACAAGCTAAGAGGCCATGGTCTGTGTGTATGCTATGACTGTTGTTGATGCGTCTCTGAGCAGGTCGTCACAGTGTCTGTTCCCCTCTGGTGTAATATCTGCTCTGGCTGTGCTCCAGGATGCTTCAGCGGCACCAGGCCAGACCAGCATGTTGATTACGCTGCCTTGATGTTTTCGCAAGATAAAGAGCTTTGTTTTCTGTATGGCCCATGCTCAGTGTAATTGATATGTTTGGGAGAATCGTTAGCTTTCCCTAAATAGCTTCTGTAATGAGAGAGGTTTCAACGCCAGCTTGTGTTCAGTCAAGTAAAACGGACAGCAATGGTTATACAGATAGTTCCATCATTTGGGGAAGCATTTTGTTATCAGCGTAAATAATGGTATTCCACATTTTTTTGCAAGTCACACCTCTTTTAAGAATTAATTTTTAGATTTAGATTTTTGATTTTTTTTTAGCTTTACTTCGGTCTGTGAGTGAGGAGCACCCTGGCTTTTTGAACTGTACTTTGTGGAGAGACTGCTTTCATGCTGAATTGATTGAAATTCTAATCATTTGAATAGTTGTGTTTGGTTAGTTCTGGTTGTTGTCTTGGTATTCTGGTCCATCACTTGATTCAAATCATATGCTCCTGCTAAAGGGTATATGACATTCCATATTTATTTTACAGGAATGCAGAAGCCAATAAATTAGTAACTCATATAATTAGATAACTTGATGCATAGCCATTCTCTACAACTACATTATCATTTAGATAGTTGAAACACCCTTCAAGTATCACCCATCGCACACCTCTAAATCCATAAAAAGAAATTGATGGCAGCAATCTGTTTCCTCAGGGTGAAGGATTATAAGAGCTTCAGCAGGGGAAAATGTTCACATATTTAAGTGTTTTTTAATTTGATTTTATATAGGATACATTCAACAAATATTGGTCAGTGAGGCTTGACTATTTAATTTAAAAGCAGCCATATATTATCTAGCTTTAATTGAATTAGAAAAGGACGATGATATTTGGCATCCAAGAGACACAATGACAATTCTCTTGAATCACATGACCAGAGTAAGAGGGTCTGGCTGGCCTTGGCTCACCCTGCTTCTCTTATAGGCCTGAGCAGCAGCAGGCTAAGCTTGTGTTGTTAAGTGTCACTAAGGCCATAGTCCAGGCCTTATCCCAAACAAAGCCGCACTCTAAGGTTCTTAACTCCCCCTCAGGAGTTGTCCTGGAAGAGCCTACAAATTGGCTCAATGAAGTTGTAATGAGAGCTGCTTTGTCTCTGGACACAGTGCTCCTTACAGGACAGCTACAGTTTTATAGTGGGGGTGGTGATGTTGTGGCCTGGGTCAGGCCGTTACTGACTGATAAAATAGCTTTAAAAGCCTCTGTCTTTAATTACTGTGTCAGACCTGCAGCTGATAGTTCTGGTAGTTCATACTTTTCTTGCTTTTATTGCTTGAAGCATGATTACATGATACATAATAATCATGCTCCAAGCAATGTGAGGTGATTTGAGGTTGAAGTTATTGCCCTATTACCAGAGTTTTGGGAGTCTACTATAGGTTTCCCCATGAACCTTAAACATTGCCCACATGCCCATTGCACACTAGGGTAATTCTTATGATAGGCATTCCTGATCCTGGCTCAGATTTTGAGAACACCCACTGCTCACAGCTGATTAGTGGCACTGGTTGAAGAATCATCAACTTTCTTTGACTATCCGCATAACCATCAATTTAATGTTTAATGCTGTATGTCTGTTCACTTGTAATATTTAAATTGTCAATGGCTTAAACAGATTATATTTTCTTTTGTCAGGTGGAAGCCAGCCCAGACTCCAACTCCAGGTCCATAAAGATGCCTGCACTGTGTGGGGGCTCCAGGTTTGAGGAGTGACTCTGACAAAGCGGCTGCAATCAGTCCAAGATGGAGAAAAAGAAAATGTGCCCTCGCCTGCTCGACTACCTGGTGGTGGTCGGAGCAAGGTAACTGTAGCTCAATCACGTCACATGCTCTCATGCTTCTTAGACCCACATTTTAGTGAAGGTGGCCCACTGTGCCAGTGAGCCAAGTTGCTGTATTATTTCTATTTAGTAGGATGAGATGTAACCTTTCCATGTGCCCCTGACCCTATTTTTAAGAGTCACTAATTTAAAGGAGACAGAATTGTGCTATGCCTTTCCTTTACTGGTTCTTTTAAAATAGTTTTAACGGTCAAGGCAAAGGCACACACATCAGCCATCAACTAATATTTTTACCTCATCTTTCTATGATGACATTTCATTTTCAGATTGGCGAATGTAGTTTTAAGCAAAAGTTTGATGAGCTCAAACTGCAGAGAAATCGCTGATATAATTTGTAGTCCATGGAGCATTATTAACAGTGCACTAATCTGACAAATTGTCCTCCAGAGTGTTTTTGAGGCTTGACATTTCCATGTAATTATGGGCTTTCAGAACTCCAGAGAATTAAATGGTCCTAATTAGCAGATTGGGAGCTTTCACATTTTATTTTTAAAAGCACGTATTGGCCAAGACCAAACCTTTCTGGTCTGTAGCTGTAAGGGAGTCATTGGGTGTCTTAAGATATTTTACAATTGTTTGGGAAAATGTTAAATATTTAAACATGTGCTTACTCCTTGTGACACAATAGATCTTTTCATTATAGACATTACATTACAGCGCTTTAGACTGATGTTGTATTACATGGCATAGCTCTGGTGAAAGTATGTTTCTCTGTGTCTGTGTGTTTGACAGGCAGCCAAGCAGTGACAGTGTGGCACAGACCCCTCAGCTGCTGCGGCGCTACCCTCTAGAGGACCACACGGACTTCCCTTTGCCTCCTGACGTGGTGTTCTTCTGCCAACCCGAGGGCTGCCTGAGCATCCGGCAGCGCCGCGTCAGCCTGCGGGACGACTCCTCCTTCGTCTTCACTCTCACAGATAAGGACTCGGGCATCACACGCTATGGCATCTGTGTAAACTTTTATCGCTCTTTCCAGCGCGGGCACCACCGACCTCGACCCGATAAGAGCCATGACTCTGGGGCACAGGGGGAGACCAGTGAGGGCTCGGACACCAGTGGCACAGGGCCAGCCTCAACGCTGTCTGCCCCACACTCTGATCTGCCCGCCCCGGGGGAGGACGGAGATCAGCCCTCTGACATAAACACCAGTAAATCTCCTCAGCACAAGCGCCGCAATACCAAAATGGCCGCCCGCAACCGCAACAGCACCCTGACGTCTCTGTGCATCCTTAGCCACTACCCATTCTTCTCCACCTTCAGGGAGTGTCTGTACATCCTCAAGAGGCTGGTGGACTGCTGCAGTCAGAGGCTCACCCAGCGGGCCGGCCTCCCCCGCGCCGCTCAGAGGTCAGTCATGTGTACCGCACTCACATTGCTCTATTACTACTGTTACTCTGGTACACCCACTGCTGCTGTGTCCATGGGCTCTTATTTCTCAGCGGCGGATGATCAGTACCTCACTCACATCTGCTCTGCTCTGTAAGGCCCATCATGAAAATAACTATTGACATATTGTTCAGTAAATGATAGATGGGATCAGTACTTTGTATTTGTACGTTAGGTTACTTTCTGTTAGTTTTTTGTATTACAAGAAGATTTGAGCTGTAAAGGTTGAATTAATAACTTTTATGACTCATTATACAAATTAAGTGTTCCATTTCTATTTCTATGCTATTTATTGTACCTCAAGTTTTTTAATGATATTGTGGAATTAAAAAACAGAGATTATGCTTTAGAATTAGTGCATTTGTTTAAAAAAGTACTTTCAGTATTATCATCTATATTTTCTTTAGCAATATCGCCCTTTACTGTGTTATTGTGACAGGCCTACTGCTCTGTTATTACTGTTACTGTGGCACTGCCTCTGCTGCTGTGTCTAGGCTCTTGTTACTCAAACACTGGAGTCAAATGTTATTGTTGTCCTTAATGCACTCTCCTTAAGTGACCGTCAAACCAGATAAGAGCTATGTAATCACTCGCTCGCTTTTGTTGCTCCACATTCATTTTACAGGCCATAGTGGAATAGCACATGACATAGACTCAAATTGTTTTTCCTACGAATTTGACTGTTGGTATGATGATAATCAGTTTATCCATGGATTTTTTCTGTATCTTAGCCCTTCAGCTTTGGTTCTCTTTACAAGGAGAGTTCATATTAAGGTCACAGATTTAAAATCTATTTCAGTACAAAACAACCGAAAAAAGTACTCCTCAAATATTTGCACATTACTGCACTTTTTACAAAAAAAAAACGAAATTAATGTGGAACTAAACACCTAAACTCCACCTACAAGCACACTTCATACAGAGTTGCTAGACTGTGCAGCACCTGGAGGACTAAAGGGGAGAGTAAGGGAGGGAAGAGGGCGAAGTCTGGACATATAAGGAACAGTGTGAATAAGCTGACAAGTATCCACATTTCAAACACCACCCCTGCAGCCAGGTGTTTGTATCAGAGAGAAGTTTTTTGTAATGTCACATAGTACTTGAAATTGCAGAGGCCACTGAAGGTGGTAAACTTTTAGCTTTTTAGACGTTTTGACCAGAAAGCTGCAAATTGACCAAATTTGCACTAAAATTGCCCAAAAATTACATGGAACAGTAGATAATGCTCTGATAAGTGGCAAAACTGATTTAGTGTTAAGTTCCATTTTTATCATCCATACTTCTCACCTCTAATTTGGTGCATTACGTAACTCTATTCTGATTGTAAAAACACGAGAGGCTGACAGCTGGTTGTACCATTTGCTTATTGTAAAAGCCTAAATAACGTGCAGACAGGCATACAAAACCTTTCTTTCTTCTCAAAATGCCTGAATTTATCCCAGAAGGCCAATTGAGTTTACAGTGCACAAAAAGGACAATGGCGGCAGCGATCGGCAGTGAAATGTCAGAGCACACAGGTCAACGGGACGAGAGTGGCCACCCACAGACACACACAAACTCAAACACTCACACACAGACTATATGTGGAGCACAATGGAGCCCACTGCAGCAGGAGGTATCAGGAGACCAATGCACTCTCCCATTTACGTATGATATTCCTCTGAGTCAGACTGCAATAACATGGAGGAGGAAAACTTACATTCACTTAAGACGTATATGTACTATACAGCCTTTCTATTTTTAAATACAAGACAGTAGAAAATGTTATAGCCTTGTGACTCCATTAGTGTTGTCATACTAAAATTTCAAACTCGATTTTGATACTGAGGAATAGACTGCGGTGCTCAATCTACCGATTTCGAGACTACATTGATAATAAAAAAAAGTCAAGCATTGTGATAAGATTTGCATGTTTTAATAAGATTCTGTTTAAAGTTCACTTTTTATATGCATCCAGGAGAATTGACATAAGAAATATGAACCAAGAAACAAATACAGGAATCATATTTCAGAACATGTTTGTACAGATCTAAAGTTCAGGGTTAGCAGTTTCTATGCCCCTCTGCAGTTTTTATACAAAATCACACAGGAGATTTTGCTGTTTGTGGAGGAAGCCATGGTACTTCAAAAATTGCAGCTGTTGTGATTTGCTAATTGCATCCATTCAAGTTGCGATTTTGTTTCAATGAGATTAATCTTGCAGCCCTATAAAAAGTAGTTTCTTTTTTAATTCTGATAAAGCTCAAGATCATTCATTTTAAAGCTCAAGATCATTCATTTCTTATCAAATTCTGATAAAGCTCAATATCAATGATACTAGTTTCAATTAGGGATGTAACGATATCCAGATCCCTTGGTATGACATTTTCACGATATGCATGTCACGGTACGACATTTTGTTGTGGAGGCTAACTGAATTGAGTATGTTACATCTTTCTTTTTAAAATGTCTTGACAGTCCTTTGGTTCTGTCATAATCCAAGAAACTAAGATTGAGACCTGAGATTTTATATATTGTGATGCCCATGATATTATTGTGAGACTAATGATGATACAATATCACAATATTTCAGTTATTGTTACATCTCTAGTTTCAATGCAATACTATACTATTCGTATCTGATTTTAAATACTTTTGACAACCCTAAACACTAGTGCATTTAGTTCTGTACAACTTCATTCTCAGTATAAACTGTGTATTCACTAAAGAAGGACATTGAATATTTTTGTAAAAGAAAAGAAAACAAAACAAAAAACAAAACAAAAAACCCACATACATACTGTTTTACTTCTAAATTCATGTTCTTAAATAGTTGTGGCCGAGTAGTTAGGTTGGCAGTCATATCACAGGGCTACATCATTATTTTGAAACCATTATCCGGCTTGTATGATTTACCAAATGTCTTAGTTTTGTCATCAAGTAGTTCTTCTCTTGCCCTTTCACTACTGTCCAATACCAAGCCAAACCAGCACCTAAAAGCTCACCAACAGAAAGAGCAAAAGGACACCATGTTTAGTGTTGTTTACTCAGCTTCTGTTTCCCATCTGTTGATTTCACAATCCACTGTGTATGATACGCAAGCATTACCACAAACTTGCTCCACCTCTTCAGCTATGCTTTATAATAACCAGTCTGGTTGGATCAGTATTGCAACTAGAATGTCCACATGAGGTTTGTTGAAAGTATTGAAGATCAGATACTAATTCATACTAAAACTAATATCAAAACTAGATACTCATTTGAGCAAGTATCATTGCGAAGTCACATTCACATGACAGAAATGAATCGTTCTGATAGAGCTCAAGATCGTTCTAAAAATATAAGAGCACGTAGACTAGTACACACCCATGGACCGCTATGGAACCTACCTGGACCACTGAGGGATTACACAGCCACATGTTAATATAAAAGAAAGTACTACGATTTAATGTGGAAAATTACATTCTACTATCTAAAGAAATAATGTTTTTATTATCATCGTGGTATGGTATTGTATCAAGTCTATTCCTTATTAAAATCAAGTCTGAAATGTTAGTTTTGTGACAACACTATTATGAATACCACACATTACCGTATTTTTCGCGCTATAGGGCACACTCAAAAGCCTCCAACCCCATCAAAAAACGACTGCGCGCCCCGCAATCCAGAGCGCCATATACACGAATCCACTCACGTGTACCAGCACGACTTCAGTAAACTTACAAAGCCACACCACTCGTAGCGCACACAACCAAACACGGAGCAGACAGCGACCACGCAGTGAAAAACACCCGCAGCCACACTCATCACTCCACACGGACGAGGAATGGAACGGAGGAACGAACCGAAAAAGCGAGTGCAATGTGCCACTTCTAGCCACAACTGAACAACTGAGTCACTGCGAACACACCGACAATCCAACGGTCCCAGACAGCACCCTCCCTACACGCCACAATTGAACAAAGCCCAGAGTCACCGTGAACGTGCCAAACAAAGTCCCACTGACCCATCCAACTGTTGTGTTTCGTTTAAGCAAAAGAGCGGAAAATACGGTACGTGCACTGTGGACTCTTGTATTCACCTATTGTCTGTCCTCATGCACACACTGTTACTTAAAAAAGAAAAATTCCAAGTGAAAGATTTCCCACTCCCACATAATCAAATGTACTTCAAGTGTATTTAAATGTTGAAATGTCAGTTGTAACCTGCACCGTGGTTTCAGTGAGTCCAGAAACGATGGAGCAGCACATTGGTCTGATGACACATGCTGGATGCCTGTGCTGTGACACTGTCCTTTTGGTTCTGTGTTGGATGACAGAAAACAGTGCTATTTCAGAGCTGCTAAGTGTTAATTAGGCTGTCAGTGTGGGAAGACTGCCTCTCACTGCCTCTCTATGGGCTTTGTATAGCCTCCACATTTACACTCACACTATTTACACTGTTATGTTATGGTGCTATAGTTTGAGCTTTGTTTGACTGACACAGATGTGTACAAATCAGATTCCTCTTGACAGTGTCACCTGGATCTGAAACCTTCTCTGCATTGGACAGAAGGTTTTTAAAATCTTGTTTTTTAGGTTTTTCACACTTGTTTGGATCATTTAAGCTCAAGAGTCTTTCTGAAAACTAAAAATGGGCTGACATCTATTAGGAGATGTCTAAAGAATAGTATGCCTCCTAATGCTTCCACACACTGAGTCCCTTCTCTCACCTATTATTGCTCTTTTGACAAACTGTCTAGGGTAGTCACAGGCAGTTTCTACATGGTTCTCAGTCATTTATTTCTGAGGAGTGACCCTGAGACTTCAGCATCTCGACAAAATTCCTTTTGAAATGCGTAGGTGATACCCTTCAGTTTAATTGTCTTGCTCAAAAAACAGTTTATGCACTAGAGTGTGAAAGGGTTTTACCTAAAAAAAAATAAATAATAATAATAAATAAAAAATCTGGTGCAACACGTTTTAAAAACAACAAACTTCTCAATAAATAAAGTAACTAACATTTGACTTGATGTGATTTGACTTTATAAATCTCACATAAACCCATCTTGTCATGCTGTTGCTGACGGCGTTACTGTGAGTGGGTGAGCTTTACACTGCAGACAGAGGCTGCAGTGTAAAGGCCCTCTTATTATGAAAACTGTGACATAAAATCAAATAAGCGAAAAACTGCTCCATATGTTTTTATTATATTATGATTTAAAAATCTTTCAGTTTTACATAGACTTTTGTTGAGCTATTGAAGCCTTTGCTGTGATTGGCTATGAGACCTTTGCACGTAGATGTTACAGTGCTTACGTTCTTGGCATTGATTAATCCATGTGTCTTCCCCGTGTTCTGACCATTTAGCTCTGATTCATATCTGACTCAGAGGTCAAAGCATTACAGGGCGTTGGAGCGGCTGTAGGAGGTGAGTCGTGGAGACCGTCACTTTGAATGTTTCTCCTGCTGCTGATGATAATAATAGCCCACATTCAATAGTTCACTTCCTCCCATGAGAGATCCTCTGTATTTACAAGTCAAGTGTTGAGCGCACATACTGAAGAGAATACATTTGCTCTGGGTGAGTCAGGATGCTCTGTCTCTACTGATGCTACTGGTTAGTTTAATGGTCTGTGTCATGGATCTATAAGAAGACCTCCCCCACCCCACCCCCTCTGTCCTTGTGGGAGCTCGCTTAGTGGCCGCTCCATAGGTACTGCCATGAGGCCTACGAGTATTTTTTTGTGAAATCATCATTACACTACATGATTTATTATTTTTTTTTAATCCTTAAAACACCTAAATGTTAGCTTTGTAAGATTTGTAAGATTTAGCCTTATACTTTTTTTTGGGGGGGGGGGCTTGAAATCTTGAAAATGCATCATAACAGAGAATCTAGTGTTGGGGATAATGTCAAGCAGTTGGTTTCTCACGATTTTTAGTAAAAAAGTGTCTGATTCGGCGAAAAATTGACCGAGTAACCTCTATATTAGTTATCATAAAATCTAAAATAAATAGAATATTTTGCAGTGTCTGTTTTTCATGATGTAAAGGGCATTTATCGTGGCAAGAGTACGTTAAAATCAGGTACAAGCCGTTTAAGAGTTTTCTCCACATGTAAAGGTATATAGAATCTTCTGATATGATATTATTTGTATTGTTTTGTTGGCATTTTTTCATTTTAAATTGAGTACAGTATATTTTGATTATCATGACTAAATGAACGTGTATTCTAGACATAAATGCTTTTAGTAAACGTTGTGTTGCACTACAGTGACTGGACAGAGAGGAGCAGTCGCTGGGATTACAGCAGCATTGACAGATTGAGGTCTACCCTCTGGAGCTTCTGCAGCTGGTGGGAGGTTCCACAGGACTAATGATTTAACCTCACACTGCGCAAACATTCAAACAGCTTTAATGGCTCCATATGTGTCTCATCAATATTTCAATACTCACTCAAGAGTTGCTTAAATGTCCTATTAGCTCATTAAAACAGATGCGGTGTGACTGGTTATATCCATTGTTTGGAGTTGCACACAGTTTTGCATATAAACTGTGCCATAGCTGTGACTTACATCCCTGGAGCCAAATCAGTCCTGCCTTATGATGAGCACTGGAGCTGAAGTTGATTAAGGAAATTCTTTGTCAACTAAAGGCATGTCCTGCAGTGTGATTAGTCAACTAAATATTTTTATGCATCACTCACCAATACCTCCTCTCTATAAATCCTTACAATCTACATAAAATGATTTGTTGGATAACACAAGTCAACCATTTAATCAGCTATACAACTAAAGATGTTTTAGATCACAATTGTGTGACTCAGTGTGGAACTACGGAGGAATTTAATTTTGACAAGAGTCAAAATTGACTCTTGTGAGCTTTAGGCATGTTAGAATGTCGTTTCCGCTTTAAAACATACCCGGAACTGTATTTTGTTTCATTCAGACATGTTTATTATTAGTCTGTCTACATCTCAAATACTCAAAATGCTCTGTTCCACCTTGTGATAGTTGTTTAACAGCTACCTCTTACCTTTTAGTTTAGTAAAAGGCTGAAATCATCCAAATGATTTTAGTGAGTTTAAAAACACAGTAGAGCACTTCCTGCATTACTACATGACAGAGTGTTTTTAGTTTGAGAGAAGGACTCTAAATATTCATTATTAAGACAGATGAAAAAATTGTGGAATATGGGCTCTTTAAGTACCTGATGATACAATTCAAAGATAAATGGTTTGTGTTTGTTTTTCTTTTAGATGAAAAGGTTTACATTTGTCATGTGTCCTCAACCTCAATATTTACAGGGAGATTTTTTCAATACACCCTGTATTGAACAATTTCTACTGCTTCTCTTACTATTGGAATTCAGGCTTCTATTACATCTGCCTGAGGCCAGACAATTAATCGAGAGATGTGATAAGATTGTGCATGAGTCATGTTTAATGTCAATGATACAGTGAGGGGTTTTGAATCGAGAGATGTTTTAGAGCAGAGTTCAGACTTTGGAGGAAGAAATAAAAATTTTTAACAAAGTTTGTGTGGCACAGATTAAAAGCCTGTATTATTAAATCAATACTAAGTCCCATTTTAGATAGATAGATTTAGAGATTGCCCAGCTTTACATCAACCATACAATCAAAACAATAACTATCTGTTACAACATGGTTTTCAGTATATACATTACGCTATTTTCTGATCTATGTCCTCATGTTGTTTCCTCATTTAAAACATACCTGAGTTTTGTTGTTTCATTCACAAGTTAAACACACAAACCATGCATATTTATTTAGAGTTTTTCTCTCAAACTGAATATACTCTTACACCTTGTGACGTCATATGATAATACCAGATGTGCTCGGCTATGTTTTTAAACTCCTCCTTCACTAGAATTATTTGGATCATTTCAGCCCTGGAATTGCCATTCTCTCACAAGAGTCAATTTTGTGTAATGACTTGCTACACTGTTGTTCTCACATCTCCTTTGTATTGACTCCACAGGGACACCATGTGGAGGGTGTTCACGGGCGCTCTGTCGTCAGAGGAGAAGAGCAGCCAGCTCCTGTCCGACTTGCGGGACATCGAGTCGTGGATCTACCGGCTGCTGCGCTCCCCGGTACCTATGGCGGGACAGAGGCGTGTAGACGTGGAGGTTCTGCCCCATGAACTCAAAAGGGCCCTCACCTTTGCTCTGCCCGACAACTCACGCTTCTCCATGGTGGACTTCCCCCTGCACCTGCCCCTGGAGCTACTGGGGGTGGACGCCTGCCTCCAAGTGCTCAGCTGTGTCCTACTGGAGCACAAGGTGAGGACCCATGAGACTGTGGACATTTAGGATTTAGCCCACATGTGTGTTTGCTCACCTGTAGGATAACACAATGTCAAATTTACTCTTTTTTTATTGACACTGTTGTATTGACACTCAGTGATCACTATTCTTAAATTTCAGTTTGAACATGAATTTTGTCCCTTTGTCTTACCTTTCCCTTTTTTGGATTCCATATGATACAGATAAAAGGGGCTTTGGAGGTGCTGATAGCCTATGTAACAGCCAGTATTCTGTTGAAAGTCTTCAACTGATTATAAAACTTAAGTCTGGCTCTATTAGATTTTAAATTGGGTTTATTAAGGCTACATTTACTGTTATTTTACCGTATTCAAAGACAGTAGGTAGGCCTAATGGCATTTTTGACATTGTAGCCTATAAACAAAGTAAGTAAACTACCACTATTACACTTTAGTGGTAAATGCATATACGCTGTGGAAATTAATCATGTGTAAATTTGTAAACCATTCACACCTCTATTCACAGCTCATTTACATATCAAGCTGTGTCCAGTAACATGTGTACAGCCACTATAGTCAATTTACAGTAGGCCAATGTAAGAAAACACCCTATATGTGATATCTTAAAGCAGCTAAGCGCTAACCCATGAGAAAGTAATAATAAGTGCCCTTTTAATCCTGACTCAAAACAATCGCTCATAAAAAGAATTATAATCCAGCATGTTGACAGCAGCTGTGCATGTCCTCTGTCTATGGGACAGTCATCTCTACTCCGCACTCACACTTTAATAAAACAATCAGTAGTTTTGTTGCTGGCCTAAATTGCACTTAATTTCACGTTTGTTTGTACTTCATATCTTATATCAAAGACATGAGCATTTAATGCCAGCGCCTTAGTGCAGCCTCAGAGTGCACTGGTGTAAACAAGAGCACGTGAGTCATGTGACTCATTCAGGGCAGCAAGAGTGTAAGATTTATAATGAGGTCTATCGGCTCATATCGACTAGATTTAGGCCAATAACCGATATGTCTCTAAGTGCCCATATTGGCCGATAATATGTTTGATGAGCTGATTTGTACCATGAAACAAGTCAAATAACTCAGTTGTAGTTCCAACTAAGTAAATTCTTTCTGGTCAGACTGTGTTTAAATAAAGCTCAGATTAAAGTCTAACAAAGGCTCAGAGACAGCCTGTCATGATAGTACATTTTGAAGCATGATATTGATACAGAGAGGTACTGTGATAAACGATAATACTGAAACTACTTTTTGCCACTGACAGAATTACAGTAATGCAAGATGATCCCAGTAAACCATTTAATAGATGGTATAATTTAAAGGCATAAGATGACACATTTAATCTACTACTGGTCAATAATTAGCAATAGAAGTCACTTATTCAACCTTTTACATCTTAAAAGTTATTGTATTACAATAAAAACACCCCAAATATCTCTCTCTCTCTACTTTTACAAAGAAAATATACACATGATAAATATATTGTTCCAGCATTCATATATTGAACGATAAATTGATGTAGTGTTTATCATGACAGGACTGTCATACCCCCAAGGGAATGTTGAAGTCATCAGCTGCAAAGTATCAACACACTTCACACAATATTCTTTTTTTTTTTCAAATTTCACCCACCTGCCATTCCAGTAAACCATTAGCTCTGTGCGGGAATGTAAGTCTATCTGCCTGTAAGTCTGTGTGTGCTGGTGTAGAGTTGCTCGTGGACAGTGATAATCAGTCAAACCCCATTTGTAAGTGAAGATTTGATTCAACCAGTCATGGAAGACACTTCCACACAAAAGCAGACATGCTAACATCCTCCATTATTCAAGGCTCTTTTCAGTGTTCACGTTTATGTCACAGAACTGATTCAAAAGCCTTTTAAAAGCCTGAAATTACCCACGGCACTAGACGCTTCACACAGACTCACACTTCATTATGAATAATACAGATGGAGCCTTCAGTCTGAGTGCTTTCTGCAGCACAGTCATTGAGTGGATTCAAAGAAAACCGAGAGAAATGTGCCTCGCATTTTGCTCTTTTCAGACACAGTTGTTCCATTCGTCAAATTGAGTCTAGAAGTGCAGTTTTCGAAGGACTACCCACAATGTACTGTCAGGGTAATTGACTGGTCGTCCTGCCTTATTTAGCTGTACACTAGGGGTGAATTATGTTTGTGGTGTCCCTCAGGTGATTCTTCAGTCCAGAGACTACAATGCTCTGTCCATGAGCGTGATGGCCTTCGTCGCCATGATCTACCCTCTGGAGTACATGTTTCCTGTCATTCCTTTGTTACCAACGTGCATGGCTTCTGCTGAACAGGTACTGCGAACACAAATTTAAAGTGAGACTAAACACCTAAGAGTGAAAGGGGGAGAAGGGGCGGGGTCTGAAGGTATAAGGAACAGTGTTATTGGTCTGATGGGTATCTACACTTCAAACTCCGCCCCTGCAAACACTTGGCTGTAATCAGGGGAGTCTTTCAAGAGGTCACCAACTACTGGAAATTGCAGAGGCCACTGAAGGCAGCACACACTTAAGGTTTAGACGTTTTTGACCAGAAACCTCTAATCTTGCTTAGTTTACATTAAAGTTGCCAAAATATGACAAGGAATAGTACATAACGCTATTAAAATACCATTGAAATAGTTGAGTAGCAAAACAGTGGATTTAGTGTTTAATAGGACTGGGTGATATGGAGCAAAAATATATGTCTAGATATATTTTGCTATATCTCGATATACAATATATATCTCTATCTCTACAGGAAAAATAACAAGCAACAATATGCCAAATTCACCAGTGTTCATTTTGGAACAAAGTGCTTTTGTGAAATCCCTGCATACAAAAATAATAACTTAACTGTAAAATAAAGGATGAAATAATACATACTGCCTTCTTTTCATTCAAAATTAAAACAACTCAGCTCAACTCAACCTCATCTTAGCTGGTTTTGGGTGCTGCTGTGTTGAATGAGACACACAGGAGGGGAGCATGGGAGGGGAGAGGTAACAATAGTTATTGTGATAGTTACTGTGATATAAAAAAATAAAAATCACATCAATTAAATGTTAAAAATTGTGGAAAGTAGAGCTGAGTTTGTAAACACAGTCTACAATGCATTTTTTTTGTCACTTTAAACATTGATCTAAGAAAATAAAAATAAGTGTTATTTATATTTTTTGCCAATGCATTTGAAACATAAGCTCAAATATTTCCCACAGGCATAGATTAAATAATGCCTGCTGCTTGTAAATAGTCATCTGTTGGTGAGGCGGTTACCATAGAAACTAGCCTTTTCAGTTGAAACATATTTAATCAGTTTCCATACCTCCATACTCAACTACATTATACAAAAGAATGTGGTGTTTTGTACAACGCTGCATTCACTTTCACTGAGACTGCTTGAAATCCAGGCCTCTTCTAGTGAGGACAAGTGATTTATACCAAATGCTCATTGTATTGTTTTTTTTTCTCTTTTTCATAGCTCCTGCTTGCCCCCACTCCTTACATCATCGGGGTACCAGCCAGCTTCTTTCTCTACAAATCGGATTTCAAAATGCCTGACGATGTGTGGCTTGTGGACCTTGACAGCAGTAGGGTCAGTAACCACTTCAGTACACTTCATTCTTAAAGTGCTGTACCTGATTTTTACTGTCTTTAAAAACATCAAAGTTTATTTTAAACAGTTTGCAGTAGGGATGGGCATGATTACTCCATTAATCAATAATTGATAATTAAGAATTTAATCAATTACGTTAATTTTAATCGACAAACCGAATGTAGGTTGCTGTGTGTAGCGTGACCAAACAGGGGTCTGTACATGTGTCTCTCTGCACTCAGAAGGAGCGAGCAAACAGAAACATTCGGTCAGCCTGCAACATACCGAAGCACAAATGCGTATTTAACGATGACTTGTACAAGAAATTCCACGCTTTCCGTTGCGTTTGGGACAAGTGTGAGTCCATGTGCACAATGTACAAAGCAGCACATATGTTTCAGTGTCCAGTGGGAAAAAGTTTTGCCAGGTGAGAGTCGCGCAATGTCGATGACGAGTCCCCACAATGTAGGACACCTCCCACCCCCCCGTACGGTGTCCTACATTATAATGTCAAACGGGCTGATGTGGCTCTAGAGTGGTTACAGTTTATATGTCGTAAAGTTGAATTTATTTATGCAGATTAGTAGTGCAGATAGTAATAATAATGATGATCATTTTAATATAAAAACATTAATGATTAATCGATAATCGATCGTTAATTCTTCCGACGAATGATTAAGAAAATTTCATCAAAGGCCCATCCCTAGTTCGCAGTAATCCAAGCTAATTATTCGTCACTTACCTTATGCATTTCGAGCATCTTAACTATTCACCGAAAACCAGCATGGAGTATTGCCATAGTTGTAACAACAACTAGCATGCTAAAGCACATTTCCTGATTATCAGACAATAAAGTGCTTCCTAATTGGATGCAGATCTGAAGAGCTGCTTATACAGTCTGTACTGGGGTGAAACAATATATGCTCAAACATATGGGAAAATCAGGTACAGGGCCTTTTAATATAATTTTTTCTTTTTTTCTTAATTTCTTATCTGATTAAAAAAAATATATATGATTGGGGTGTTGCAGGTAATTGCCCCAACCAATGCAGAGATATTGCCACCTCTCCCTGAGCCTGAAGCGGGTGAACTCAAGAAGCATTTGAAACAGGTATGGAATTGTACTGGTTTATTTTTTGTTTTATTTGAATTACTTCAGTAGACTTTATATAACATGATCAACCGTTTATATTTTACAGTGCCATTTTATACATGTACTTGACCCTTTTCTTCCAGTGTTGTGAAGACTAAGCGCTTCCTCCCTCTGCAGTTGTATTGTAGATGCGGTATGGGAACATTGAATGGGTTGCGTGCCACACTAACACCTCTTTGTCCTGTTTTCTTTGCATGCTCTAGTCCGTGGAGGTAAAAAAAAAACATAGGAGCTAGAATCCTACTTCCTCATAGATGTAATTATACCCCAATCATCTGAGACCACAACTTGGCTCTGATTCATAGGTGCACCAGGTTTTTAAATTACTTTTGCAAATGATGATCTAAACAGTGGATGAATCAATACATTTTAATTAGGATTTGATAGAAGCTGGTTTAGTCCTTCCAGCTGCAAGTGCTTATTTCTAAATCTAATTCAAAAAAATGTTAATGTTGATGATGCCTTGCTAGTATCTGCATACATACACTGTATAGATGGATATAGTTGGCCTCATAACTACAGTGTTTCAACTAGGAAATGAGCATGGGCACGACCCAGCTCCAATTCAGTTTCTATTGAAAACTCATAGTCTTTCTGTCTCCTGCTGTCAGGCTCGTCATTCTGACCTTAAAATGTATTATATGGGTTATTTTATGTCATCAGGTGCCCTCTTTCCCAAAGGTTTCACAGCAGGTTTATTGACAGCTATCACCCTCGCCCTTGATTAGCTCTTTAGGTTGCAAATCAGCCACTATAACTTCTAGCCTCGATTGACTTCATTTGATTGCAATTGAACGCTGTTGGCAGTGTTGGGAAGGTGACTTTTAAAATGTATTCCCCTACAGATTACAGATTACATACCCCAAAATGTAGTTTGTAACGTAATCCAATAAATTACTTAAAGTGAGTAACGTAATCTGAATACTTTGGATTACTTGGTTTGCTGTAGAGAAGCAAAGACGAGGAGATCGTAACATAAGAAGATTTGTCTGATAAAAGAAAATAAAAAGCCCAGACTTTCCTTAACCATATTAAAAATATTATTAATAGAAGAGGAGGAGACATGGTCTGCACAGCATGGTTTAGTCCTGTTATAGTCCTGTTATATTCCTGTTATAGTCCTGTTATAGTCCTGGTTTAGTCCTGGTTTAGTCCTGGTTTAGTCCTGGTTTAGACCTGGTTTAGACCTGGTTTAGACCTGGTTTAGACCTGGTTTAGTCTTGGTTTAGTCTTGGTTTTAGACCTGGTTTAGCCCAAAATGTAAAAACAGGAAAATACCACCAAGTAATCCATTTATTCCAACAAAGTAACTGTAATCCAGTTACCACTCATGGAAACAGTAACTGTAACTGAATACAGTTACTCATAATTTGTACTCTGATTACGTAACTCTGGTACAAGTAATCCGTTACTCCCCACCACTGGCTGTGAGTGATGTCACTCTCCCTTAGTGCACTTCTGTATACAGGCTATGGCCTTGCTATTACAATGCATCTGCAACTGCCCGACCAACAGGAGTCCTTTGTCTACTATTTCAAAATATTCATCATTTTTAAATCTAAACCCCTAATCACAGATAACCAACAGTACAATAAGCCCCTGAAATGCAGCTTTTTGGCAGATATCACATTTTTACATGTGTAAGATTTTAATGAACAGATTGGCAGTGCTGCCTCAGTACTCTATTCTGTATTGTATGGTGTGGATGTGTGCACACTTCTGCAGCTTAAGCCATTCCCTTGTAAGAATCGTGTTTAAACAGTGCCATTGTTTACCAGGCTGCTGTCATATGGGTTGTGACTAAAGGAGCCTTGAATCAGAGCCAGTTGGTTGTGCTGTAGCATTAGCAGCTTCCTCCCTGTTTGTAGACTCTAGCGCACAGTCCTCTCATACACACAAAGTCCAGATTTAACAGTTACATTTCAGTATGTAATAATATAATACTACATTATTCATGTCCCTGAAAAAAAAAGATGAGTGAGTGGACTGGAAGAGATGAGATTCACTGATGCGAAAATATACCACCCAAACTTGTATTTGTGTACTATTTGCTTCACTTTCCCTTCCTTCTACCAGACAGACGCATTTTTTAATCATTCATATTAAAATACCAAAAAACCACTTTAGATAAGACAAGTCTAGCTCTGTAGACTAATTAATTGGTTGATTGCATCTTAGATAACTAAATATTCATCAAGTCATTTAATTTTGATTATAAAAATGTATATGGGACAAAGGCAGAAAGGAGAAGTGACTGAGTTAGCTGAAGATTTGGTGTTTTTTTGGTATTTTTTAGTTTGATCTATCTTTATTAGGGGTGTAATGATGCATTGTGCCACGATACTTTGCAATTCTAAAATATGACAATATGGATTGTGTAAGAGCTACAATGCGCAATTCGATTCATTCAGATACGGAGCCGTCACTGCCAACGCTGCAGCTAATGCCCAGAGAGGCTTAAACACAGACTGAGGAAACTCTTAAAAAAAAACTAATGACAGAGATTGTATTTGTTCTATCTTTACTATGTCTTCACCAGAGTGTGAAAAAGAGTGAAAACCAAACTTTGGAGAAATTGGCAGAACTTGTTTACCTATGTTAAGTAGCCGTGTGCTTGGGACTAGGATTCTTATCTTTTTACAGGCCTCAAAGATGAATAATGTAATATAATAAAAATAATAATAATAATAATAAAAAACTTCCTTTAGAAATAGTGAGATAAAACATCATGTAATATCTCTGTCACTCTTTAAAACATTGTTTTATAATAGTATCAAATCTATAAAATAAAAATGGCCTATTTAAAATAGCCTAATGATTTGTTATAATTAAATATTCTATGTTGTATTTTGCCCCAGTTGAATAAAATTATTATAAGACACAGCTTAAATTGTATATGAAATCATTAAAAGTTTGACGATTGGGATGAGACTGACGTCCCTAATAATTATTCATTATTCATTTTGCATCCCCTGTATAGGCTTAGCAAGGACACCTCCAGTTCTTTTATTAACATTTCTCAGCAGTTAGCTCTTGCATCATCCAGCTATTACATAATTTGTTCTTCTTTAACATTATCAATTTCCTTGGTCAGCTCATCTCACAGAAGCAATATGCTATGCACTTCTCATCTCAGCTTGTCTCCAGGCTGTCCTTCTTGGTTCTTATTTAAACCTCCTTGTGTGAAAGCAGAGTCAGACTTGAACAGTCAGTATTAACGTGCAGTGTTGAGTATTTAAGTTCACCGGGTCCCAGACTGAAAACAAACTTCTCCTGCTTCAGACTCCAGAGTCTAAGCTTCTGTACAACTGTAGGACATTTCCAAATCACCACCCCTAATATTTATAGAAAGATATAGTAGTAGTTGTAGTTTTGCATGTACTCCCATGCTGTAGTAGCCTTGTGAGTGTAGTTTGGGTCCGATACATAGAGATGTGTAATGGTTTTGAGAGTTATTTCAAACAATTACTGCTATTTTGTCAAAATTGACAAAGTATAGACATAATATATTTTATTGTTTTGTCTTTGGAGACACCTGTATTTAAAAGCCCCTAGAGTAGAAAAGTTGCTATTTAGAATGTGAGTAGCAAAATGAGATATTATCCTGAAAAAAAAGGTTAATAACATTTTGGAAATAGTTGTCCCAATTTGACAGTTGATTAGAGCCCATCTTACACTATTTATGATCTATGTTATAATTTTGTTTCCTCATCAAATACTTACAACTTGGAGTTGTGTTTGGTTTCATTTACACGTTTAACACACAAACTGCATATTTAGACTGAGTTCTTTTCTCAAACTGAAAACATTCGGTTTCACCTTTATCTGGTAATACTGAAAGTGTTCCACTGTGTATTTAAACTCCATACACCTTCACTAGAATCATTTGGATCATTTCAGCCCTGGAATTTCCAATATCCACTGAACAAAATAAAAAAGGTAGCTGTTAACTTGAAAACCACAGCATGACATGACAAGGTGGGAAACAGATTTTGAGCTACAATTTCTGTAGCACAGTTCAATTTAAAATGTGTTTTTAAAAAAAAAGTTTGCTTTGGAGATTGCATTCGTCAGCAGTAATGAGTGTGAAAAGACAGGAAGCCTATGTAATAGTGTTGAAACCTGTGTGTTCTCTTCAGCTAACCGAAACTAATACAATACATTTTGGCCCCCGGGCCTGAGTTTGACATGTCTGGTGTAGTGAATCAGTTCTTACAAATTCTTCTGTGAACATTTTGTTACTCTTAAAGCGTTTTTTTTTTTTTTTGTGAGATCTGCTTTGTTCATCGTCATTCATTTGTAAGCAGTGCAGCAGCTGGTTACAATGAATAGTGGTGTGCAGTACCTGTATAGAGCTGTTAGGAGCACTCTGTGTTTGTCTGGGTCTTCATGTGTCAGTCTCTTGCATCATTGTCCTGTCTTTACATCTGTTTTCTTTCCTCCTTTTCCTCAGTACCTTTTAACAGCCATCTTGGGTTGGGGCAGAACAGACAACTTTTAACAGGGATCATGTTCCTAATATTCAGTGTAATTGTAGAATTGAGCCAGCCTGATAATATAACTCATAATGTAATTTTAGGTTGTACTTTGAGGCCCAAGTAATCTGGAATTTGGGTGAAATATTTCCTGTTTCACTGACACAATTTTATTTACTTAAATAATAAATGAAAAGTGCACTCGGTACATTTTCTGGTGGAGGTTCTGTCACCTGCTTATTTCCTGATGTCATTGTTTTGCCTGGCATGTTCCACAGTATGCTTCATATTTATCCTACTTTATTCAATTACAGGCTTTTTTATTGCGTACAAATACTCTGAATCACCTGCTTGTCTCCATGGAGACTGCCAGGTTTTATGCCTGACTGTAGAACATTCCAGGCAAAACGAAATCATCTCCGTGTAGAATAGAAGGACTTGGACCATCCAGCTAAAAACCAACACAGTGAACCTTCACCAATGGCAGCAGTGCCAAACAAAAAATAGCTGTGTTTTGATCCACATTTTTCAAACAATACAATTCAAACAGTAATCTTCTCTTATAGCACTGAGTGCCATAATGAATGGAGCACACTGAATACTTTTTTATTATGCAATCTGCCCTTGAGAAAATCTAAGGAAAAAAGTTATGTTTTTAAAAAATATAATATCAAGCAAAGTGGCCCTTGTGATTCTTTAAAAAAAATCTAGTATATGTCCAGATAAGCAGTGTGGACAAAGGAGACAAAGAAAGAGCTGGGTTCACTTCCATGTCCTCCCCCTGTGTCATGTGCTGTTCACTGCTGGCCTCATGTGACTCTCCTCCCTCTCCTCAGTGTCTGCTTAGGCTCAGCGCCATCACCCAAAAGCAGATCTTCTTCTCCGCTGAAAATAAGGTTACTCATGTTTGCCTGGTGTGGAATGCAAATGAGCCCTGCACGGATCTCTCCTTCCTCACATGAATCTGCCTGTCAATATTTGTCTCCTCTCTCCAGACGAGAGTAACGCGTGAGAATGTGGCACTGCGGTTTAAGGAGACGCTGCTTAGCTCTGGCTTGAGCATGACTGAATGTGCGTGCATCTGTTCTGGCAGCAATACGTGTTTTAACCAATTTTCATAATGATGGGAAAAACAATAATCACTTTGAACTTACCAGTCACCCAGGCTGACTAAATGTTCCATTGTGCTAAGCTTAACATTGACTCTGGAGTCTGCAGCGACCATGCACACTGACCTACTCTCCTGCTCCTCTTCCAAAGCAACAGACCCACCTCTGGCATCAGCATTTAAAGTAAAGTTTAATAGTAAGATCATGTTCAGCTAGTGTCACCACATCAAAAAAAAAAAAGAAAGGGAAATTGTATGAGGTATGAAGTAATGTACTTTAAATATCTACCAACAGAATTATGGATAACATTAGTAGCACAGGTTAAAATGGGATTGAGTTTATTTAAATGGATGGGAACCGGAGAACCAGAGAACTGGAGTAGGTTCATGCAGCATTACAATTATTCTGTCAGTACAGTGCACAGCTTTTGTAATGTATTTGTTAAGAAACATACTCACATGCTTTATTATTATGTAATTGTTCCTGAGGGTGCATGCACTGGGCTTTAAAGGACTTCATTTTTCAAGACATACCTGGTACACTGAAGCACTTAATTCAAAATTATATTGCCAAGATAATTTATGTGTAATGCTTGTGCCCTACCAAAGTAGGTGGAGAGCAAGTGAAACAATGACTGTAGTGACACTGTACAAAAGTGATCAGGAAGTTTTTTGTCTTTCCATGAAGACATCTACAGAAATTAAAGTAATGCTTTATTGGTCGTTGATTTATTTTATAATGTAAGATTCAATATAATATTTTGTCTTAACTATCAATAAAGGATCCTCTGATGCCTGCATGCTGATGCCAGGGGTTGGAGCATCCCATTTTAGTCCTCTCCTAACCACCTTCTCTACGTAATATGAAACGTTCTATATTTGTAATGGTTGTGCTGTGGCTTATTCCAGGCTTTGGCCAGTATGAGCCTGAACACACAGCCCATTCTGAACCTGGAGAAGTTTCAGGAAGGACAGGAGCTGCCCATACTCCCACCGGGCCGAGATAAAGCTTCACCATCCTCTACAGAGTTTAACCCTCTCATTTATGGCAACGATGTGGATTCAGTGGATGTAGCCACCAGGCAAGTGTCCTCACTCACGGTGGACTTCACTAACAAGTGCACCCTGAGCAAATCTAGTCTGATGATGATAGTCTGATCTAGTCTACCTGCACTCCGTCACATAGCTACTGATGTTTTGTATCTTTGGTGATTTTTTGACACTCTGCTAATTTCTTGGGTCTCAATAAAATTAGAACAACTTCTATCCTTTTTTATCCTTTTCCAAAATTAAGCCTATTCAGCAAAGTTTTAGCATTCTGACTATATTAGGGCTCATGTCTCTTTCTTCTTTCCAGGGTTGCCATGGTGCGCTTTTTCAACTCCCCAAATGTCCTCCAGGGGTTCCAAATGCACACACGCACCTTGCGCCTGTTTCCCCGGCCTGTGGTGGCCTTCCAGTGCTCTTCTTTCCTGGCCTCTCGGCCGCGGCGCTCCAGCTTTGCAGATAAACTCTCTCACACTCAGGCTGTGGAATTCTATGGAGAATGGGCCCTCAACCCAACCAACCTGGCCTTTCAGAGGATTCACAACAGTATGTCTATCATGTTGTTGTTCTTCACTTCTTTTTAATTGAGCTGCCAGTTTGCAGCAACAGAGTGATTACATTTGCTAAACTAAAATACACCATAAAACATTTTCAGCTGTATAATTATAATGAGTCTGTTGTATATAAATAATGTCATTAATTCCTCTCTTTTAGATGTATTTGACCCGTCTTTAATTGGGGACAAACCAAAGTGGTACGCTCACCAGCTGCAGCCTGTGCTGTACCGAGTGTATGACGGTAGCTCACAGCTGGTGGAGGCCATGGCCAGTCCTCTGGAGGACGAGGGCAACGATTCTGACCCCACGGACAGGTGGGACTACCGCTTATTCACAGCACAACACCTGCACTGTTCTAAGACAGACTGCCTGCTCTTATTGTCTGAGGGGCTTAGCTACTGCTGCTGCTGCACAGGATGAAATATTGTGAGCCTATTCTATGCTCATGATTTTTTGTCATTAGTGAAGATTTAAAGGCAGATACATTAATCTGACATGGTTAAAATTATTTTTTTGTCACAATGGGGAGAGATATTTTAGTGTTCATTCAGTTGAAATTCCAGCCATGACATGCTCCCATTGGGGGAAAAAAAAAAAAAAAAAAATGGGTTAGTGTCTAAACTCCACTTTGTGTTTTAAGTGCCTAGTAACAGGTGTGTGTGTTGCAGTGGCAGTGACAGTGACGCGTATGATGGTTCCAGCTCCTCATACTCCTCCCTCGGAGACCTTGTGAGTGAGATGATCCAAGGAGACATCCAAGGAGAGACCACGAGTGAGTTCTACTGTCCCTCCATCGAGGAGATTATTATTAGACATTTAGATTTCGCAGATACTGCTGAGTATTATAAAGGATGAAAGCATAGATTATGCAACATTACATCTTTAAATCAAGTTTTGCATTTGATTACAAAAATATATCTAAAATAGAATAATTCTGAAGGAAAACCCATGACTTATTTTTACGTATTTTATGTCAATCAAAAAGATTTTGAATCCATCTTAATTGTAAAAGCATTACATTTCTGTGTCATTCATTTTGAAATGATTCTTCTGTGGTTTTGTGGCTTAACAGATCCTTTTTATATAAATAATCTTCCCTTTTCATATTTGATAACCTCGAGTTATTAGCAGAATGTTTTTGGTTGGCTTGTCCACAGTGTTTGTAATTGATTCACTGCTAAATTAGAAACACAAAAAGATATGATTGAAAGCTAAGCATGTGATTAGATTCTGCTGTAGAGGAAATTAATACATAAAAAAATGTGGCACCAAAAAAAACGGCACAAAAAAAATGTGTGCCCTTAAGACTTAATAATTATCATGCCACAGAGGGCTGTAATCAACTAAAGAAATTCTTGGTCAAGTTAAGGCATGTCTGTCGATTTAGTCTACTAAAAAATGGGCGTGACAAAATCTCTCTAAACTATTACATATCTCTGTTTGATCCAAATGCTCACAAGACTACACCTGCACAGGAGTCCATGAAAAACAACTATGTAGAAAAAAGTACTAGGAAATTATTTATATAGACTTGTGAATCAAATATGTGAGTTCTGAAGGACTGCAGTGTTAGTGCCACTTATTACAAAACGTATCGAACCAGTAAACCACACAGATAATGATATGACTTTATTTTTGTAAACAATACTTCTGTTCAGATTTGGATCCCCCTACACATGCTGCGCTTGGAGACCCAAGTGAAGTGGAGTTTCAGGACTTCCAGGAGCTGAGGGAGGGCCAGAGCTCAGAGGGGCCCACAGGAGGTGCAGACGCTCCCGCTGAGCCCTCTGACGGACAGCCTCTGCGCTCCAGCTCCAGCACCACGGCCAGCTCCAGCCCCAGCACCATCATCCAGGGAGTTAATCATGTGGGTCACCTTCAACTTGTAGAACACAGTTTGTCTTATCATCCATGTGGGGGGGGGATTCAAAATTTTCAGAAGACGGTGGCAGCCTTCTCCCTGTATCTGGGTGGTATTCAATCAATCGCACAAATAATGTTATTTGTTCTTGGCGAGCAATTTAAAGAGCAGAAGTAGCTTCAAAAACACACTCGTCACCATAAGCACACATAATACAAAATCAACAGTAATAGGTAAGTGGTATACATGTACAAACAGACCATTCTTCCTCAGTCACCAGATTTTGTGATCAAATTGTGATGGTTACATCGTGTTCACCAAATGAGACCAAACTGATTCAAGAGAGGTGTTCTGTGGAAATCTATTCAGATCATTTAGTAAATTAGTTTAATAATCCCTTTGTGTTCATTCCTCAGGAACCTGGAGAACCACCTGAGATGGAGGCTTCAGCCAGTGCTGCTCTCCAGAACCCTGTCCCAGGCCTGGCCAGCCAGCCGTTCCTCCGCCCCCCAGCAGACAGCGGCGTGGTAGACACAGCCAACAAAAAGCCAGAGTATGACAACCCCTACTTTGAGCCCCAGTACGGTTTCCCCACTGAGGATGACCCAGAGGCCGACGAGCAAGTGGAGTCCTACACCCCTCGATTCAACCAGAACCTCAATGGCAACAAGTGTGTGCAACTTGTTTGTGACTTGAATGACTGTGTAATCATCATTCAAAGGGATTTCTGACCTACCATGAAATGCTGTCTTTTTAACCCAAGCATGGCAATTCACCCAGCTCATTCCATGGTGGTTTGAATCAAGGTGGTATGTATGGTGCAGTGGATGAGTGTGTGTGCCTGAAGTAAATATAGTAATCAATAACCAATTTGAATATAGCAACAATCATATTTATAATACTAGCTTGACACTTCAATCAAATTCCCCCCAGGCCCAACTTCATAACTGAGACCAAATGCTGAAAGCATTGAATGTTCTCTGCGCATTCACAGTCAAGAGGGATGAAATAGAATTGTAATTCTCAGTCACAAATGGAAAAGGTTTAGAATCTAGAAATAAATGCTTGAAAAGCTTGTAATTGTACACATGTGACATTTCCACTAGAAAGAAGAAAGTTTATGTATTGTACTCTCCCTTTGACTCCCATTTATTCTGCAGCCTAATACTAGTACTAATACTAATGCATGCTGTTTATTTAGTGTGGCATGTGCTTATGATCTTGATTTGACTCCAGGGTTGCACGTCCGCTCCGTCCCAGTAGCTTGAGACTCCCTGGAGAATCTGATGGAGAGGACTCTCACAACAGCTCACCAAACTCCACGATCTCCAACAGCAGCAACGATGGGCTAGGGGGGCTCATGTCCTTTGCAAGTAAGAATATGGCCTACAAAAAAACAAACAAAAAACACACAAGATTTGAGCAGTCTGAGAACACAAAATCAGGCCAAGGTCAGGGTTAATTTATACAGCATCTTTAAAATACAGTCATCAATGCCCCAAAGTGCTGTACAAATTACAGACTAATTACTCAACAAGCATGATATTTCAAACAACAATGATATACGGCAATAAATAGAACAGTTGAATTGAGTTGAGAACAGTTGAGTTTTTTTAAGAGACATATATAAATGCTAAGATTTCTGAGTTGAGTAAGTTCACCTCATTCTTGTCAGATCAGAAGGTGGACAGAAGCATTCATATTCACATGATTTTAAACAACAATTTACTCTATCCTCTGTTACAGAAATTTGACTGCTTTGTCTTTATCTTTTCAGGCAATCTGTACAAGAACCACGGCACAAGTTTTAGTCTTTCCAACCTGGCTCTTCCCAACAAGGCTGCGAGGGAAAAAGCCACACCATTCCCCAGCCTTAAAGGTACCACTCCTTCTCACCTTTTTAAGCTCCACTCTGACCCAGTAGTCTCATGATAGTCAAGTCAGGTCAGCAGTGAATTCATTTATTACGTTTTAGTATTCTTTTCAGGCCTATGTAGTTTTGACGAGCCTACTGCAAAGTTGTTCAAATTAAATGTGTCCTGATTTTGTTACAACTTTTTTCAATAATCACTGACAATTTTGTGATAATTTTTATTTCTCCTACTCTCCTTTGTCCCTTTTTGAATAATTTTATTTTCTAGAATATTTTAAAATTGATATTGAGGAGGAGGTGGAGCAAGCAGGTTTGTAGAGGTTTCTAAACAAAGCACGATTGTAATTCCTCTGGATTGCCTATTCAAAATGGCACTGTTTAATGTGGCATATGGAGGGCTTTTTGTGTTTTTCTCTCCAATAAGTTTAAAGGGAAAATCCATGTTCTTATTTTATCGTGTCATGTTTTTACACAGTGGTGCATAGATAGAGTGCATCATTCTATTATATTTAATTTGATGTATTAAAGGAGACTCATTATGATTTCTTTATTTTTGTTAAATACTTTTTGAGTGGATTTTCACTTTTCATAAACTGATATAGTACATATACACTACCAGTTAAAAGTTTGGACACACCTTCTCATTCAGTGTTTTTTTCTTTGTTTACTACTATCTACATTTTAGATACATACAAAAGACATCAAATATATGATGAAAGATATCTGGAATTATGTAGCAAATATTTTTCATATTTAAGATTCAAATTCCTCAAAGTATCCACCCTTTGCTTTGCTGGCCTTTTCTCAGTGAGCTTCATGATGAAATCTCCTGAAATGGTTTTCACTTTATAACTGTGGTATGTCAGGGTCAAGGAATTCCAAGTGTCCTAAGCTGTGTCCAAAGAAAGGCTGTCTATTTTCAAAAGTCTGAATCTAGTTTGGAATTATTTAGCGTTTATTTTTTGCTTTCCACATTTCATGAGAGTTTTGTTGTTCAATCAGTATCATTTTATTTGCCCGAATGACAATTTAAGCACATTGAGTAGTAAAAAACAATAACAGTAGGAAGGCTCAAACAAAAGGTGTCATGAAAATAAAGAAGCCTAAATGAAAAAGTGTGTGCAGGCTTTTGACCTTTAGTGTCTGTACATGAATGAGGGCATTCTCTAGCCTGATGAGGGGCAATAGGATTAGTCAGATAAAAGCACTGCTCCTGCACATTCTGCTGGCAACAGTGGTGACGCATGTTGACAAGAAGCTCATTTGTAACAACATAGCTGCTTGCCAATCAAGAGTGCAAAGTAAACATATTATAATGTGTCTCCTTTTAAGTGTTTATATAGTCCATACTTGATGTTGGTGTATAGTGTGAGGCTGGATTTGAACTTTAAGTGAGAGAAAACGTTAAGCATGGCATCTCTCCATGTGGAATAGCTGCCATTGAACCTGTGCTCCTGATTCTGACATGTCTTGTCTCTGTCACTCAGATTCTCCTGACAGCCCGGGTATGTTCATGTGTGCTGTGCTAGCTAGACTTAGCCTTACTGCTCTCCAAAACGACCCTTGAACTAACCTTTTAAGCCTTTCAACTTTGAACCTAGCTCTCTAATAGATCCCATATTAACCTCTCCTCTGCTCCTGTGCCACTCTGCGCTGTTTGGTGGGACTGTATTTTTGGCGCACTATGATTCACACATAGTTGGCCAAGACAATAGTGTGATATAACATTATGTCAGTGTGGAGTTTACACATCCTCCTTCTAGAAGAATGCTCAGTTTATCTCCAACTGTGACCTTTAGGCAGTGGATGAGGATTGTACTGTCTAATATACCCTGTCTACCTATTTGTGTGTTTGTTTCTTTTGCCCTTTACAGACATATTCTCCAGACTTTTTTGTTAAGTCCATAAGCATCTTCTGACAAAATTCATATAAAAGAAGTTGGAAGCATAGGGCAGTTGGAGTTTAGATATGACTGCTGATTTATTTTCTATGTTAAGGGTAGACCCCATTTTTGCTTTTCGGGAAATTAATTATTTGTATAGTTATAGTATTGTATGCATTTTTGAGTTATAGTTTGAAATTTTTGTATCCTGACAACACTATCAGTACTAAAGGCTACCACACACCACAGGATAATTTGCCCGATTTAGGCTGTGATTTACTTCTCCCCAAGTTCAGGGAAGCGTGACCTGACTTTGTGTCTTCTTGTGCGATTTTGAGGTGTTCTTAGTGTGACTCTAAGTTGCTTTGTTAGATCATAACAGTAAAACACCACCGCCACAAACGGCGTCAGGGGCAGACAAAGTGATGGGACACAGAGGCGCAACATACAAACTCAGGTAATAGAGAAAATGAGGCGACTTTATTATTCACCTCTTGTAAAGTTGTGAAGTTAAACGCAAGTTAAACGGTAGCATCTCATCCACATTATCCATAGAATTTGTTCTCTGCAAATAATGATATCCAGTCCACAAATCAGTGCTGTAAATCCAGTTTGAAGCGTCTTTTAAAAGTAAAAAGGCAAGAGTGTTTCCTTACATGTGTCTGTTTCCATCCACACAGCGTGGGTCAGGGTAAAACTGCAGATTAGCGATAGTGCTTCCTGTGTACTTTATCACCAATCTTCTGTGCATTAAAAATCATTTATCTGAAGTATTGCACCACATCTCCCAAATAATATTAACACAGTTTTGTTTTGCATCTAAACTAGAAGTGCAGGACTCTGATCTTTAAAGGCTGCCACACACGACAGGATTTTTCAGTCTTGTGTGTGCACCTCTTGTCAGCTGTTTCTTGTGTAGACTAAAACAACTTAGCCATGTCTGTGCTCAGAAATTTAAAATGTCAAAAGATTCTCCTTGTGTCTGTGTTGTACACCTTTTGTCGCATGTTTAGAAAAAAAAATCCTGTAGTGTGTGGTGGGCTTTAGGAAAAACTCAGTACTGATTCCAATAACGTTGATAATAAAAACACTTAGACAATATAATGTGATTATTAAACATTAAATCATAGTACTTTCTTTTGTATTACTATTTGATCCTTATATCTATCCCACAGGTGAGTCTGTAAGTTCCATAGTAGTATTCTAGTCTATGTGCTCTTATATTAGTTTTGATATGGCTCAAGATCATTCTAAAACTGTTCAGGAAAGGCTAATTTCTGTCTGATTGAGATTACTTTTTTAGTATGAATATGTTAAATTAGTTTAAGTGTCGATACTTTTGACAAATCTATTAAGTAATCTGTTTTAAGCCCACCTTGCAAGTTTGCTAAAAAGTCAGCTGCATTTTCTTTGGCAATAGAAAGTTAAAACCATAGTTTGGAACATTCTCCTTAAAGGATGGATGGATATGTTTTATGTCAAAACAACATTTCAATGGAAACAGGAGGATAAATCAGTTTTGTGGAGATGCAAGCCTGCTCACAGTATGGATGAATGTATTTCTATATTTGTCAATGCAATAAATGCATCCATAATGAAAAAAAACAAAACAAAAAAAAAACATTATTTTATTTTAGTTTTTTTTTTTTTTTGGCAAAAAGTTACAGTTGGGGCTGTAATTAAACAGAAAGTGGTGAGTCTGGAGAATACTGTCTGCCTGTAAACAACTTTTGCTTGCCGTGTCTTTTCTTTGAATATATTTGCCTCGTGGTTTTAAAACTATTGAAGAAAAATATCCCGATGCAACTTGCAAAACCCGTCAGCCCGGTATATTCAGCCAAAGCCAAATGTGTCACCATGGTGACACATTGCTGTAGTCATCCTCTTCAACACATGGCGCCATCATCTGTCCATGTTGTGTACTTGTATTTGGTTGTATTATATTTTTCTTGAACCATGTTGAGTGTGCATGTTCTGGGCTCATGGGGGCCCGCTGCTGCCCGTGCCGTGTCCCTCTGGGTCCTGCCTGTCATGGCACTAATCATGGCTTCTGTGTGCAGTCTTTGGGCTAAATTCTCTAATGGAGATAATAACAGAGGCCGGCCAGGGGAGCGGAGAAGGTGGGTCCTGCCCTTTTGTTCCAGTGAGCTGCATGTCTCCCCAGACCAGTTCACCACACCTCCAGCATCTGTCGTGCTCATTTCAGTCACTGTGTTTGGAGCATTGTCTCATCATCACTGCTCATAGTGACTGTCTGCTTCAGCTAACTTCATCTAAGGGGTGGGCCATAGGGTGACAACAAAAAACTCTTGATTTAAAGTGAGACTAAACACCATCTCTGCCCACAATCACACTCTAAATAGAGGTGCTAATGTAGGCTGTAAGTGTAAGAAGTAAGTGAGCAGGGTGGAGGTACAGTATAAGGTAATGGAATGTTATTGTTTTACCAGGTATCTACATTTTGAACCTCGCTCCTGCAGCCAGGTGATTGTAATCAGAAACAGCTGGCTTTAACCAGGGCAGTCCTGTGTGATATCACATAGTACTTGAAATCACAGTGGCCACAGGAGACATGCACATTTTTTATTTAATTATTATTATTATTATTATTAATTTTTATTTTTTTACTGTTTTTGACCACAAAGCTGCAAACACTTAGTTGATACTAAAGTAAAAAGTAGCTTGTACTACTCGAGCTCCATGTACACAGTTCAGTCACAAAAAATAAAAACAAGATTTAGTGTTTAGTTCCACTTTAATACTAGAAATGTTGACTTTAATTTCCTTTTTAGGATTGGGAAACATGGCAAATAAAAGTATAATAAGATGGATAAAACAGTCCTCAAAAGTTGATCTCTGCGAACTACAAACAATTTACACAATTTGATTTAATTGCACTGCCCAAAACTTTTTACCCTTAATAGTTTCATATATAATGTATTCACAAGTATATTTGTATCATTAATCATACATTTTACTGTGATTGGTTAAACCCACATGTCACTCATCTGGCAGTCAAGATGACAAAGGCTGACCAGGCTGACTAGGAAAACTGCATTAATCTTGTCCACCCAACTTCACCTTATTTGTTTGTGGAAGAGCTAATCTTCATTGTGTAGCACAGTTCATAAATATAAAAGAACAAAAACCATAGACAGGTTTTTTGTAGGTTGAGCTTATAGGTCACGCCCATCCCACACCCACAGATAATGACAGGCTTTCAGTTCCCAACAAAGAACACAGACTACAAAGATTATGTAAGATCATTTTTTAGTCTTTTAAACATGGACAATTTGTAAATGTTAAACCCAGTGTATATGATAAATGTTAACCCAAGATTGGAAAAAGAGCCCAATATCATTTTTTGTGTGTGTGTGTGTGTGTGTGTGTGTATGTGATGGTGTGTTGTTGTTTGTTTGTTTTTTTAATGACCACACTCTGAACTCTTCTAGTGAGATGTCACTGACAACACTGTCTTGTGTTTGTGTGGATGTCTAGCAAATCTGTATGGGGCTGTCCTATATTCTGCTCTGGTTTAATAATAGACAGTTTCTGCAGCCTGACCATGCAGCGCAGAGTCATCTTCTCCTCTACACCACTGTAATATGTGTACGCTTTAGAGGAGTAGTGTACCTTTCCTGTCCTGCTTTTGATTTTCAGATTTTTGGTTTAGACAAGAAATATCTGGATTTATACATTTTCAGGTGACCTCTAAACAGACTAAACTTATCAGAGAAAACAAAAAAACTATTTTAAAATAAGAAAAGGTGATTTAATAAAGAGTATATATTTGACATTGAATGAAGAATTTTTATTTTTATTTTCATTCATGGGGTTAATTTGTGACATTGCAGTTTGCAGTGAATATGTGACATCCCTAACTCTCAACAAAAAATTGTGTACATAGTGAGCAGTTGCTGTCTCACCAAATAGTATTAAATCTCATTACTGCTGCTCCTGTTTCAGGTGCCCGTGCGCCCCGGGCTCTGGTGGACCAGAAGTCCTCAGTGATCAAGCACAGCCCCACTGTGAAGAGAGAGTCCCCCTCCCCTCAGGGTCGAGTCAATAACAACAGGTATGCTGCCATATAGGTGGTTTGTTCACCTGCTGTAACTGCTTTGTGTAATTTGTTTCCTTTTTAAAGGGACTTTTAACCATGAGTAAAGAACATGTTAGCCCTGCTCATTTTGTCCTCTCTACCACTGTGATATGACACAGACATAGTACACAACTGTCTGGCATAGTTTCATGCAGTTTCCACTGGTTTGCTTTTGAGTGGATTGTTATGAGTTGCAAGTGTCTCCACTGTCTAAAGTGAACCTTACGGCCCTGTTTGAGGGGTCTGAACCAGATGGCACTAGTTTCCATAGGGCTATGGGGTACAGTATGACTCCGTGTGTGGTTACAACAACTAAACAGATAATGGGACAACAGAACGCAGAGTCAGGCAAAAACAAGACTGCAAAAACAGATATAAACATAAAAATAATAAGTTCTCACCAAACACTGAATTGATCTAGTCACAAATATTATATGTATTTCCACTTAAGGTAACTTGACTGTTGACTCGAAAGCTAACGGATATTTCATGTTTATGGAAGCACGCCACTCATGTTGACATCAAACATATTATATTTCCAGTACATAATGCATCTAACATGAGCCAAACCCAAAGAATCACATAAAGAGATGCTCAAATGTGACTCTGAGGCACAGAGAAATAAAATCAGTGCAGAAAAAGCTGATGATAAATTGGAAGATGTTTTGTGTTTATGCTAGCTTTACTTAGAATTACAAAACAGCTTTTTGTGAGGCTGGACTCAGACTGGATGTACAGGTACGAGTATAATTCAAATACGATTTAGATTTTACTTATTAGGAAAACATGAGTTGTTTGGGTGATGTCAGTGTCTCGCAGAGCAGAGAGCTGCTTATGGAGCTGGAGCTGTGCCTGAAGCATAGAAACACATCTCGGCTGGAGGGAACCCACCAAACGAACCCCCTCCAAGGCAGACCCAAGACCACTGTGGCAGTGGAAACAAGGCTTTAGTGTTGTATTTCCACTCTTGAATGCACCATGACAGAGATTCAGATGCTGTCTGGAATTGAGTCAGACAGTTGTTTCCTATGATTCTTGGCAGCAAAATTGATTGGATGAAAACAAGTGACCCTTTTAATAGATTCTATTGTTTTTTTACCCAACAAAACACTTTCTAAAATGCATAGACTATGTCTTTCAGTAATTTTTTTCAATTCTCAGCATTAACAATACACAGCATCACATAATCATATGCCCTTAAAATAGACAATACTTCCATGAGACTGTGGTATTCTTTGCTATATTAATTATTAGTAATGAAAACTGTGATTATCTGATGAAAGTAGCTTTGACTGGAACCTCTGAAATGTTTTTTTTTTCTTCTCACATCCCCAGCTAATTCTGATAATTCAGTGTAATTTTATATGCTCGATGCAGTGAAAACCAGCAGTTCCTGAAAGAGGTGGTGCAGAGCGTGCTGGATGGCCAGGGAGTGGGCTGGCTCAACATGAAGAAAGTGCGCCGCCTGCTGGAGAATGAGCAGCTGCGCGTCTTTGTGCTGAGCAAACTCAACAGGGCCATCCAATCAGAGGAGGATGCCAGACAGGAGATCATACGAGATGTGGTGAGAATCAAAAGCACTGGGTAACAATTTAAAGGATGAGATTCAAATAGTCCAAGTCCAAGCTTAGTCCTGGTTTGGTCCTGGTTTGGTCCTGGTTTAGACCTTGTTTAGTTCTGGTTTAGACCTGGTTTAGACCTGGTTTAGTCCTGGTTTAGTCCTGGTTTAGTCCTGGTTTAGTCCTGGCTTGGTCTTGGCTTGGTCCTGGTTTAGACCAAGTTTAGACCTAGTTCAGTCCTGGTTCAGCTCTGGTTTAGCTCTGGTTTAGCTCTGGTTTAGTCCTGGTATAGACCTGGTTTAGACCTAGTTCAGTTCTGGTTTAGACCTGGTTTAGTCCTGGTTCAGTCCTGGTTCAGTCCTGGTTTAGACCTGGCTTGGTACTGTTTTAGACCTGGTTTAGACCTGGTTTAGACCTGGTTTAGACCTGGTTTAGACCTGGTTTAGTCTTGTTTCAGTACTCCTGGTTCAGTCCTAGTTTCAGCTCTGGTTCAGCTCTGGTTCAGCTCTGGTTCAGTCCTGGTTTAGTCCTGGGTTCAGTCCTGGTTTAGTCCTGGTTTAGTCCTTGTTCAGTCCATATACTGCGCAAAAGTTCGGCATCTTCGCACAGTTATTTTGGTGAGAGTAACTTAAAAGTGCTGCAATAGTTGTGTAATGCTTTACATTTTAAATGCAGTAATATTGTAAAGTAACAAATTACTTTGAAATGACAGTAACAAGTCATAAATAACACATTACAGTTTTGCAGTAACTTGTCCAACAGTGTCTCTGGAATGCATTGAAAACGGTTTAGATTTTTTTTGGTTTTGTGTCTAACAGGAGGTGAACAGAAAGGTGTACAAGGGCATGCTGGACATTTTAAAGTGCACTGTGTCCAGTCTGGAGCACTCTTACACCAACGCCGGCCTGGGAGGGATGGCCAGTGTCTTTAGTCTGCTGGAGATCGCCCGCACACACTATCAGACCAAAGGTACTCTTGTCAAATGCAGCGCTCTCAGGATATGTACAGCATCTGTTTTTGTTTATACTGTCAAAACTTGTGCATCATTTAACAGCAATGACTCTCTGCCACTAACACTGTACTGCGCTTCAAGTCGCACGCCAGACATTTGCTCTAGTGAAACTCTAAGGCACTGGGAGTTGTATGTCTAACCCTTTGCGTCCTTGCTTTAACTAACCTCTTCATTTCTCTGTTTTGTAATGCTGACAAACTCTGTGTCTGGCTTCCTAACTGTGGTAACTCGCTAGACCCCGAAAAGCGAAACAAGCGAAGCCCCACAGACAGTTCTAGCAGCCCGGGGAGCAAAGAGAGCCCGTCGGGTCGCATGGAGGCTGCCCGACCCCCGGCCCTCCTGAATGTGCCCCACCTACAGCTGCCCCACCACACCCCAGGCAGGGGCGCACGCCACTTTGACACTCGCAGCCTCAACGAGGAGAACTTTATTGCCTCCATTGGTGTGTACACCGCTCTAGCCCAGTGGCATGTGCTCTGTGAGACCCCTCCCCCATCCCAAAGGCTTGTCAGAAACAGTCCATCCCTTCCTCTGCACTAGACTAACTCTTACAGTGCCAATATTCTACACTCTCATCTTACATTCATGTGATGGATGCTATGTGTATTTGTAAGGGATACCAATCTAGTATAATAAATACATGGATCAGAATGAGTTTGGGCTCAATGAATCAAATGAAAGTTTATGAGCTCTCCTCAACAAAAATTCTATCTGCTAACATAAGACTCTTAACTCCAAACCAGTCTTAGTGCAATAGAAGGGCTGTAGGATCCTTACTAAAAATGGCTTTTGTGTCAAAAGCGCTTAAATGAATTGATTTTCATATTTTTTTAATGAATTGATTTTCATATAACGCAATATAATTTAGCATTATTAATTTGCATTAATTTTACTGTAAACCATATGCATGATTATGGACATTCTCATTTTTAAGTCACTGCAAAGCCCATGGCGCCGTCAATGTGTAGCTGCTTTGCATTTATAGTAAATAATACAATATGTCTGAAGAGTGTGTAATATTGGCCTGTTGCAGCTTGGACAAAGTCCTTGTGTTCTCCTCTAACATGTCCCCATTTGCCCCCTGTGGACGTGTGTTGTGCCTGCTGCCTTGTACTTGCATGTGTATGTATCAGATGTGTTAAATCTGCAGTAGTGGACAAGGGAGGCCTGAGGCCAGCGTGTGCTGTGTGCCTTTACTGCAGGTTTGTGCCAGGCCTGCTCTAGTCATATGGCAGCTCCCTTTGCTCTGAGCATGGAAGGTGGAAGCTTCTCTCCCTGGTATACAGGCCTAGTAAAGACCCATCCTCTTCTCAGTGCTTTGATTATAAATTCAGTCAGAAAAAAATCAGAGCCATTTTGTTTTGGTCTGATCTGGGTCTGTATACAGAGGACACTCCAAATACGCCACCCTGACTCCACCCTGCACCCTTCTCTCCCTTTAGAGATTGCACCTTCAATTCTACAGAATGCTGTGAGACTTGCATCCTAGCTTCTGCAACTGCTCCATCTCACCCACGGCGGGCTGGTCGGCCTTTCAAAGCCATCCCATGCTGTTTTCTGAACCATCTCCTCCTCCGAGCTACTGCTGTGCAGAGCCACACACATGTCATTTTCCACCCTGTGTGACTCTGCAGGGCTTTGGAGAGTGTGGCTGGGTTCTACTCTTACCTTAGCAGCTTGTTTACATGAAATTGTTTTTGTAATCCACATGGAGCTCAACAATGCCCGCCCACCTCTGCTTTCAGCATTGACTTCCTGAGCAATTTGGATTTCAGTTTAAAGGCACACTAGCTATGGGGTCACTAATGACCATAACATTTTTAATGTTTAAATGTCTTCTATTTCTAACCAGAGGGTGAATGTTATGGCTGTAACTATGATTCTGTGAATCCTGAGTGATCGCCAGTTTGTCTGCAGGGAATCACTCAGTGCTTAAGGCAGGATTCTTAGAATCATATTTGCATTCATAACTGTTGTTTTATAGTTTTATTAAACAAAATATGTCTTTGGTCACAAGTTACTCCAGAGCTGATTAGCCCTCAACACTTAAACTTTTTTCAAAGTCTATGGGAAAAATAAATGCAATTTTGGAAGCAGAAGTGCCCGCCCACTGTTGTGGTCCATCGAATCTCAGCCACACAGAGACATATGAACCATCCCTCCTCCTCAGTAACAGTTTCTCAATGCTCAGTTTGTTTTGTTTGGTTTAAATGCTCACCCACCATACATGCCTTTTCAACCAGCTCTCTGACTCTCTCTCTGTCTTTCTCTCCTTGCTTGCAATGCATCTTGGGTAGAATTGTGGAGCAAGCACCAGGATAAGCAAAAAGCTATGGAAAAACCACAGAGTAAGAGACTTTGCACACACCAAGAAAGTAAAAATTTGGGGTGTACCTTTTGCTCTCTCTCCACCCCGTTTTTTACTTCAACATTTTTGCTCTTTCTCAACATATTCATTAGATTTTGAACCCTAAACACACTTTCTATTAAAGTATACTAAAGCTGATAAGTATTCTTTGTTCGAACATGTGGTCCTGTACATATTCACTATATGCTACTTGAACTTTTTTTTTTGACACGATGTTGGACTAACTCATTCACTATGGCTTTTTTTTTTTTTTCTTTACATATCGCTATAAACCACCAAATACAAAAACTGCTGCCCTTTCTTACTAAATTTTTTCCTGTTTGAAGTGACTTGGCCAAGGTTACAAAGATGTTGGTGCCCTGTTTTCTGGGAGTTGTTTGCATTATGGGGAAAGCGAGCGTCTTCTACTTGATAATGAAATCCTGTTGAATGGCATTAACACTAGTTCTCCGTGCTCCTGACTGAGTTTGTGTGCATGCCTAACTGCCTGTGTGCTGTCGTCCTGTGTTCTCTGGTGTTACCCGGGCCACACGCAGCCTTGACTCAGACGTATCACGCTCCTGCTCAGTTTCATTTGTAACTCCTCGATTTGATGGCACTTATTACCGCACTCTCTGCTTGCCCCTGTGTCACTTCTATGTCTGGTTTTAAAATGGTTTATGTATTCTTGAACCTACCTGACGCAAATCTGTTCTTCTGTCAGCATTCTATTGATGGTAATCTGGCTTAGCTTGAAAACTCCAGCATCAGATGTGCTCTTTAGATTGTAGTGCAATGCTGTGTAGCGACTCCGTAAGGTAAGCTACAGTACAGCCAGTGCAAAACACAGTCTTATTATCACGTGTGCCCTCAGGGTCTGAGGGAGGCAAGCAACAGCGCCCCCTGGTGGCAGATGCAGAGGAGAAGAAGTCCCAGATGAGTTCTGATAGTGGGCTCAGCGTCATGTCTGGATCTCAGGTTTGTCCTTCAAACATTTTCTACGTTTATCTGTTTGATATACAGTGTGTTTTAGAGGGGACAGCACTGGGCCAAAGGAAGATAAATAAAGTTTTATCGTTTCTGACTTATTTGATAATGAGCTATTATGGTCAAATTTCACTAATTCTGTTTAACCCAGCAGTCTGCTCAAACATTTTTCTCCACCCTTCCTCCTATTGGTTAGCCTCTTTCATACAAGAGAGAGTTACAGGTGGAGCTTTTTAAGTACATCAGTGTATGTAATCTAGACTCTTAAAAAATGTGTAATATGAACTTTAGCATATTGCCCAACCCCGCTCTCTTTAAAAAATGTAGGAGAAATAAATAGTTGCATGTTTCTTTTGCAGAAGAGTGACAGTGAGTCAGTGACCAGCTCTGAGCCTCCCATTCTGACCCGGAGCACGAGCCAGGACTCTGAGGCCAGCACAGTGGTAGGGCACAGCCAACTCACTCTGTGTCTGCTCCCCCTGCATCCTCATATGTGTAACGCACCCAGAGAGCTCCTCTCTCAAACGTGTGTGTGTGTTTGCTGTACAGATCAGTAACAGCTCTGGAGAGACTCTTGGAGCAGACAGTGACCTGAGCAGCACAGCAGGAGACGGGCTGGGCAGGACGGCGGCTCACCTCACCCAGTCTAGAGGCACGCTCTCAGACAGTGAGATCGAGACCAACCCCGCCACCAGCGCCGTCTTTGTGAGTGCACCTCTCTGCACACACATCTTCTTTATTAAACATTTTAAAGTGCATAAGACAACTTTTCTAAATTTTTTTTCAAATTATTACCTTGTTTGGAAGGATAGTTATATTTATGCTTTACATCAGGCTCGTGCCAGACGAAAAGGTGAAGATGAAACGTTTGTTTTTTTTGTTTTTTAAAGTAACTCTGGAATCCCTCTCTATCATCAGTAATACAAACACACATGCAAAAGTGTTGCGGCAATTTACACACATGAAACAGTTTAACCAATGCATTAAAGGTGCTGAAAGGTGTTTTTACTTGTCACATAACAAGTGTAAATTAGACAATCTAACTTGAGATAGTTGACAGATAATGAAATGAAATACTTCCTTACTTTGCATCTGCTTCCCATGTCCAACTATGGTTTGGAGGAAGTCAAATGAGAAATTACATCTGCTAGATTTTTAGCAAAATCATTCAAAGCAAATGAATATAAAGTTCTATAAACGTGAAGAGAGTGAATAAAGCACTTAAACTGCATTCTAGTTTGCCATATTGTCCACTCCTATGTATATGTGAATGATTTAATAGCCCTGTGATTGTAAATGTTTGCGTTTTACCACAGGGGAGGACCCACACACTGAAGCCAGGGGCCAGAGATCATCTGTCTGCTATGGGGAAGGGGCCCCCCCAGCCCCTGGAGGACATCAGTATGAGAATCTACCTGTGTGAGGGACTGCTGGGTATGTGTGTGCAACCATCTCCAAACCACCACTTGAATCTGTAATATTTATACTAGGGATGGGCATGATTAATCGATAAATGATCATTAAGAATTTCATCGATTACGTTAATTTTAATCGACAAACCGAATGTAGGTTTCTGTGCGTAGCGTGACCAAACAGGGGTCCGTACATGTGTGTCTCTGCACTCAGAAGGAGCGAGCAAACACAAACAGTTGGTCAGTCTGCAGCGTACCAAAGCACAAATGCGTATTTAACGATGATTTGTACAAGAAATTCCATGCTTTCCGTTGCGTTCGGGACAAGTGTGAGTCCATGTGCACAGTGTATAAAGCGGGAACATATGTTTCGGTGTCCAGTGGGAAAAAGCTTTACCAGGTGAGAGTCGCGCAATGTCGATGACGAGTCCCCACCTCCCTCCCCCCTTACGGTGTCCTGGTTTTGACAAACACAAATATGGTCACACTAACCTGTACTCCACTGAGTCATGTCTTTTAATCTAACAGAAATTGACCGCATCAGCAACACAAGAGCTGTAGTTTTATCTTCGCTGAGTTTATGCAAATTAGCGATGCGGTTTTAAGTTTCATTTCTGTGAAAGTTGCGCAAAACTGAATTAAACACATTATAATGTCAAACAGCTGATGTGGCTCTATAGTGGTTACGGTTTATATGTCATAAAGTTGAATTTATTTATGCAGATTAGTAGTGCAGATAGTAATAATAACGATGATCATTTTAATATAAAAACGTTAATGATTAATCGATAATCGATCGTTAATTCTTCCGACGATCGATTAAGAAAATTTCATTGAATGCCCATTCCTAATTTATACAATACTGAGCTCATCATGTGGAGGCTGGAGGATATGAAGGACAGAAGTGACATTTTAGTTAAAGGGGAAAAAATTATTGCGTCTAAGGCTATATATGAATATCATGTATTCATTCATTAGAAGTGTTTACATAATACTCAAGATGCTAGGTAAAACTAATGTCAACAATAGTTAAAAATTAGTTTCTAAATGTCACTGCAATATTGTGTTTTGGCACTCTTAATAAACTTCTACTGGCTATATATTTTACCCCAAATGTCACTTCCACCCTTGAGCTTCTCAGCCCTGGTTATAACTGGGATCTTGAACTATTCTGTTCTTCTCAATTGTAATCTTCTTCTCCAATAACCCTGTGTAATACTGTCTTTGTGTCATGTGTCATTAACCTGGGTATGGTGTGTTGTCGTGTTGTTGTATTGTTTGTTGTATCGTGTTTGTCTCTGTGTCGTTGGCTGTTGTGACTAAACCCTGTGGCCCTGCTGACCTAACCCTCTGTCTCCACTGCTCCTGCGGGACCCGCTTCAGGCCGTGATAAGAGCTCCGTTTGGGATCAACTGGAGGATGCTGCCATGGAAACCTTTTCTCTAAGTAGGGCTAATCTCTTTGCCCTTTTCCTGTGTGTGAGTGTGTTGTACTGAAGCTGCTGTGGTGCTATGTGGGTCTGTGTCAGAGTATCTTACACTCTTCGCTGGGCTCTTTTAGAATTTGCCTCTGCTACTAACCTCAAACACTAACATTTCTAGAGCTAGAGCTTCTGTAGGAGAACTGTTCATTTGGAAAAGGACAAATAATTATATTAGGAAAATGCTGCCAAATGACAAACAAAACCATAATCTAATTTATAAAATTAAGTTTATTATATTGTTACCATTTTCTAAAAAAAGTACCTTGTTTTTAAACAATCCAGATAATACACCTGTAATAACATTACACTGCTACTGATAACGAAAATATTACTTAAAAATGTTCATACATTTTTGAGTAATATTTTCGTATGAACATTTTTGAGTAAGTATCTCTGGTATTAGAATAGTCATATGGAGAGCTAAAGTGTGACTGGTGTGCAGGTAAAGAGCGCTCCACTCTGTGGGACCAGATGCAGTTCTGGGAGGATGCCTTCCTGGATGCGGTCATGCTGGAGCGGGAGGGCATGGGCATGGACCAGGGCCCGCACGAGATGATTGAGAGGTACAACTCATTAACTGCACAGAGCAATAACAAAATACACTTTAACTCTCTGCTCTTCACAGGATATTTGAAAATATTGTTAGAACACATTCTTTTGTGGCATTAAATGTAATATGTATGTACAAAATATAATTCACTTCTTGGATTATGTATATTGCCCTCTACTGGCAAAAAAACAGAGCATATTACTGTGATTTAATTCATCTTTGTATCTTAGTATGCTCCTGAATAGAATAGAATGATGATTTGTTACCAATTCAGTTGAACTAGTGTGTGTGCTGTGTTCACAGGTACCTGTCTCTGGGAGAACACGAGCGCAAACGTCTGGAGGACGATGAGGACCGACTCCTGGCCACTCTGCTGCACAACATGATCGCATACATGCTCATGCTCAAAGTACGTGTACCTCTCCTTTAACGTCATCAGTTTTTTCTACTCATCTACACATGCTTACCCCCTGTGTGTGTGTGTGTTTGCGTGTGCAGGTGAACAAAAACGACATCAGGAAGAAAGTGAGACGCTTAATGGGCAAGTCCCACATCGGTCTCACATACAGCCAAGAGATCAATGAGATACTGGACAAACTGGGCCAAATGGTACATCCACACTTGTATGTGCTGATAACATGTGTTGGACTGTTTCTGATCATTGTAATGTGTGTGTTTGCAGAATGGCCGTGAGCTGTCTATCAGGCCCTGTGGAAGCCGACATATCAAAAAGCAAACCTTTGTGGTTCATGCTGGCACTGACAACAAAGGAGATATCTTTTTCATGGAGGTAGGCGTCTGCTTACAAAGAAACTATTCTGTACTGCAGCCATACGACAGAATCAATAAAATAGAACATTTCAGGTGTATATAATGGTGCTGTTCATTATTTGAACCCTTGATAAATAAGGACCTTCGCACCCTCTCTGGTTTGTCTGTCACTTCCTCTGCTTGTCTGTTTCTTTTTCTGAAATGAGAAAAGCAGCCTATGCTCTATGATGAGTTAACATGTTCACCTCACTCTTCCTTACACCTGCTGTGTGTGTTTTTTCAGGTGTGTGATGACTGCATTGTCCTGCGTAGTAACATTGGCACTGTATATGAGCGCTGGTGGTACGAGAAGCTCATCAACATGACCTACTGCCCCAAGACCAAGGTCCTGTGTCTGTGGAGACGTAACGGCCAGGAGACACAGCTCAACAAGTTCTACACCAAAAAGGTGCTCTGTACCCCTCACTCCACTTGAGCTCATGGACTCACTCAGAATCACTCACCTGATCATGTTGTGTGTCTCTAGTGTCGGGAGCTCTACTACTGCGTCAAAGACAGTATGGAGAGAGCTGCCGCCAGACAGCAGAGCATCAAACCAGGTCTGCTCCACTCTTGCCTCTTTACACAATCATTCATTTGTTCTTTTTTATGGGAATGCATGGGTTAGCAAATGTAATGCAGTAATATAGAGTGCAATAGATTACAGATTAATGAAGAAGACGACAGTTTGAGGAACAAATGCCATTTAACTGTTATAGTAACGATTATAATTGTTATTCATTTAAAACAACAGAACAAAACATTCATGCAATGGGGTATTCATATATTTTTTCTTCTATGTTAAATAAGTGTAACACATACTTCAAGACAAACTATAAAATGCCAAGCATGTAAACGAACTAATCAAAAACAAATGAAGACACCTAGTTAGTGTCTAGTTAAACTATTATAACATCATTTATATTATTTAAATGGTTTGTTGACTTTGAGTTTGCATTCACATTTTCTTAGTGATTATTGTTTTTGGTGATTTACATCAAAAGGAGACTGCTTTCTGCAGCTAATTATAAAGCATTTTCATCCGTGAAAAGGAAATAAGACAAATGTGCTTTTAGCATGCTAGTTAGCATGCTGACACAAGTGTGAAAAGTGTAACTCATCATGTCTTGGAATGTAAGGAATAGGTTTGTACTACTGCACATCATTTAAAATGAGCTACTTCTGTTTTTCCACATGTGTTTACTTGGAAAATCATTTACAGCCCTTTTAAGTCCACTAAAAGCACACTTCCATTGTTTGTGCTGTGTGATGTCCAGGCCCTGAGCTGGGAGGGGGAGTTCCCAGTGCAGGACATGAAGACTGGGGAGGGCGGGCTGCTGCAGGTCACTCTGGAGGGAATCAACCTTAAGTTTATGCACAGTCAGGTAAGACCCCTCCCCCCTCCACTGTGGCATGAGCACCCATCTCTCCTGTGTCACCCGACCATCTCCATTGTGTCAGCCCCCCTCCCATGCCCCCCACACCCACAACCAGAAATCTCCCTCTAAACCAGGGCGGTCCCCACAGCAGTTTAGGAACATTTCCCCTTTGGCTTTGCTTCTTTAACCCGTCTTTTGAGTTGGTGTGCGTCTGCGTGCATGTCCCCCCCCACACACATGCTGTCTGTGGACATCTGTGGTGCTCTCCGTGTCTCTTCTGTGTGGGAGGACGTGGAGCTGGGTGTGTGCTGCCTGCAGTGGTAAGACCGAAACCTTGAGCTAAGACTTTTCATTAATAATTGGCTTCTCATAGCAACTTTGACTCAAGTTTGGACCCGTCAACATGGCCATGCGTTGTCCTCACATCTGCATAGTTTAGTTGTAGAGCTTGTGATGTGAATCTGCAACAGCAGGAGAGCGACACAGTCATGTTTCTGTATTTACTCACCAGGGTTTATCTTCCATTTGGTCTATACTTATGCTTATTGCATTTCACTTTTGTGGTACATGGAGACTTGTGCACTAGAACTAATACAGGTCCATAATGTTAATCAGCCATGCCAATTTGACCCATTTCAATCATTGAAACAAAACCACCGGTGTATGCATTGCTAGATGTGTTACTGGTTAATTGTTTATTATATTCTATACTGTCTGTTTTCTGTATGTTCTTGGAAGGAAGTGTAGAGGTGCATGTTACACCCCAACTCCGTGTAAATTCAGGTGTTAATCAAATCCGAGGAACAACAGTCGATGTCTGAAGTTGCTGTTCTCCTAAATGCAGTGTAGTGAGGGAGCTCTGATAGCCTAGCAGATATGGCTATCTTCCCTAGACGAATGATGGTTGGCTTCACAGGTAGCTTAGCAGAGTGTACAGTTAGCCTAGTGCTTCAGAGTGAGTTTAGCGTAGTGTTGTTTGGCTCCACAGACGGCCTAGTGTAGTGCTTCAGTGAGCTTAGCGTAGTGTTTGCCGTAGCTCCTGGCCTGTCTGCGTTCAGTCACTGGGGCCTGCGCTGACTGCTGGAGGAGGAGGAGGCATGGAGGTTAGCCCTCAGGACTGGGCACATGCTGCTTTCAAAAGCTGTTGGGTCACTGAAATCAGATTTGGACAACACTCATTCTGTGTATGCAGTGAATAGGCTGAACTGCACCAGTTTACCTGTAAGCCCAAGATGAGTCCTGACACACAGTCTGTAAGTGTGTTTTGAACAACCCTTTAAGTTGTTTGTCCGGTAAATCTGTGTATTATTGTACCTCTGTAATCTGGTTGTGTTATAAAGAGCTTCAGCGGCCTCTCGAAGTGCATCACACTGGTGCTCAGATTCTACTGCAGCCACAGATCCAGGCTGCAACATCAGCCCCTACACCCATATGAACATGTCAACTAGGAATATGTTATGTTAGTGTTGGTGCTGGTCCAAGTATATTGCCTTAGGACACAGTAGTATGGACTGGTCTGGGGAGAGTTTGAACCGTCAACCTTCAGATGGCTGAAGAAACATTCATCCTAATGTAAAGCTTTGTGCAAAATGAACAAAAAGGTGGAGTGGAATAGACTCACATCAGCTTAACCCGGCTCACACTGTTTAGCATTGGATCATGTTTACACATTGTTTTCATGGAAGCAGACTGGCTAAACACTGAATTACAAATAGAAATGTTCTGCACATGAGCTGCACCTTCAGAGAGAACTGTCCCACATGTCCTTGAAAGCAGCATCACTTCCTGGTCTTTTATGGCGCTGGATTCTCATTGGTCAGGCAGCTGTTTGTGGTCTGAGGCTCAGGTGCTTTGAGCGCCCTCTGGAGTGTTTTTGCTCTTGTGTCCGATAATAATCCAAACCATTTCTCTCCCATGCTTTCTCCCCCTGCAAGGAGCGGAAGGTACCCACCTCTGCTGTGTTTGCTTTTAGCTCTCACATCTACTTTGCTCTTTTGGTTTCTCTCTGTTTGGTTACTTTTTATTTCTATATTCTGTTTCATTTCCACATGATTTATTTGTATGATTTATTTAGTTTGAGTTGTATGCACACTTGTTTTTCTTCCTTATTTCCATTCTAAACTAGTAACTCCATGTATGCATCATATGGGCCCTAATGCACCGTACAGCTAAAGGACACTGCACTATGTCCCCCCTTCAGTCTTCATGTAGCTCCAGTCCCATTGTCCTCATGTAGTACCGCCCATGTGTATGCCCATGGAAGCCTGTCTCCTCCTTCTGTTAGCTGCTTAGAGCTTGCATTTCACGTCAAGTGCTTTGATTTCCCTTTCCAACTCAGAGCTCAACACTTACTGCAGGTTACTTTGTTAAGATGAACTGTTTTCTTTCATCGCTGTTGTTGAGTTAATAATGTTGTGTCCTGTTTTTGTTTGTTTTTTGTTTGTTTTTAGGTTTTCATAGAGCTGAGTCACATTAAAAAGTGCAATACAGTGAAGGGAGTCTTTGTCCTGGAGGAATTTGGTAATTACAACCATCTATTGATTCTAGGCCTGTACTCGGCACAGCAGTAACTCAGCTAAAGAGCCAGTGACCAGGGCATCAGGGCTTCTGGGTCAGGAGACACGTGGGCTTAATATATGGAGGTGTAGTCACAAAGTGTGAGGGAAATGATGAACTACAGATGACGTGAGACACAATGAGCACTTAGAGCCAGTATAAGGTTTTCCGATTTCTAGAGTGCAGAGGTGGGTAGAGGAGTTCAATAAGAGTGCTGTTACCTGGCATAGAACGAGGTGAGGAACGTGAAACTGAAATGTTTCAATGATGTTCTCATGTCAACATTAACCTTGTGTTGTTGTACTTGTAGTAGGAAGAGTTTTTCACTGTGCTCTTACTGGAGTACTGATCAAAACATGTTTAAATAGTGTTTTTCATGTTCATAAATGACATTGAATCACTTGAGTGTTCATGAGCACTACCCACCTCTGTGTGTGTGGGGCTCAACAGTGACCACACACCCTCCTGCCACAAGTACATTTCACTTTTATTTTTCCCCATGAAAAATAAAACAGTTTGAAAGCTTGCTCAGGGCTAATCAGCCATGTGCTAATCACCACAAGACATTTTATATCAAATCTGTTTTTGAAACTGTATGAAAGCTTATTCAAACAGTTTGTGTAAACTTGTGTCTTAAGTGTGCTTTTTGGTGTAAAACAGCTGCACTATGGAGATTAGTTAACATGTAGCTGATTAACCTTTGCCTTTAAGCTCTTTATATCAGATTTTTTCCAAAAGTCTATGGAAAAAATGAAAGGAAAATGTACTTCTGCAAACCCAAGTGTGTGCTTTCTGTTGAGACCCTCCCATGCCTCCCTCTGTTGTCAGAGGGAGTATCTACACAGACGGCCCCCATTACCTGTTGGCTGGTCCATTTCCAGATATGTCCAGATATTTATTATAGACTTATTGGTTTACATGACCTTTTTTTGTTGTTAGTTGGACACTTATGTACTCAAATTTTCAAAATGGGCTTTTTTTTTATTATTTTTTTTTTTATAATTTTCTCTTATCATTTTGAAATTGGGCAATATCTGTTTACATTCTGAATCTTACTAGACAGAAGTCTCACAAAAAGAGTAGTAGTAGTTTCCTCAGTGTAAGCTCAGGTCAGTAGAGTAGTCGTAGTAGTTGTAGTAGTAGTTGCAGTAGTAGTAGTAGTGTAGTGGTCGGCTGGGTTACTGCTGCGTCTCTGTGCTGCTTTTTGTAATGTTGCCCTCATCTTTGCCACTATGAAAACCTTCATTCTCCAGCAGGTAAAGTGTCGCCACCTTTCTTCTTCTCCTCCCTCTGTCCGTGCACACTCACCCCCCCATCACCATCACCTTTACTTTGTCCCCCCTCCACCCTCTCGCTTTCTCTCTCTCCACTCAATCATCTGCTCTTCCAAAAAAGCCCAGATGCCGCGGTCAGTGGGGCGGTCGTCCTGTGTCTCCTGTGCTGCCCCCTGGCCCGCTGCTCATCTGGGCTTTGGGTTCACGGTTACTAATGAAAAGTCACTGAGGGTGCTAGCAGTGGTAGCTCAAAGGGCCTAACTGTGCCTTCCGGGTGAAAGGATGTGATCTGATGCCTTCAGTGGATGTGTGTTTGATGGAAACATTAGTGGGACACTGTCTGATCTCCAAACACAGAGAGAGGAATGTTTGTGTGCAGTGTTAGTGGGACAGGGGAGTGGACGTGTCTCACGGCTCTTGTGTCTATGTCCCTCTTGTGCTAACCCTGTGACTCACCCGTGTTTCTGCTGCCTTTGAATTCTCTGTTCTGTCTCTTGCACCAAATAGTTCCTGAAACTAAAGAAGTGGTGATCCACAAGTACAAGACGCCCATGGTGAGTACTCCCGCAGGCTTCACTCCAGCAGTGACTGGAGTCAAGACACTTCAGTTGTGTTTAAAGTGTGATATGCCAAGATGCCTGAAAATGAGTGGATCAAATATCTCTCAGTGGAGTGAGTGATAATTAAGATTAGTTTAAAACTTGGATTTCCAAAATGAATATTAAAGGGCCAAATTGAGTTGGCTCTGTGCACGACAGTGTCTGGCTCGCTCACTATTCAACACTGGGGCCCCAATTCTGTCTCTAAAGGCATTTTCTCCAAGTTGTACTAAAAGGAATAAATACTTAAAGATCATACAGTGAACGTTGACAACAATACAAAATAAATGAGGTGAAAACTTGACCAGAGGACACTTCTGCTTTTTTAAAGTTGGGTCTCATTTTGTTTCGATGCTAATGCCAATTATGGAGCCTAATAGATATAACATAACAATACAAACTGAATGAAATAATCTTCACTCAAGAACAATCATCTTTATTTAAAAAAATAAACCATTGAAATTGAAAGAAAAACTGGCATTAGCTGTGAGACACAAACATCTACACCTCTGGTGAGGTATTCTCTTCACTTCTTTATTATTATAATCTCCATGTGCAGCTTGACCATCATGTAACTGTTCATTTATTTCACTTTGACTCAGCCAAAGCCCCACAGAGAACAGAGCAGAGCAGAGCAGAGCAGAGCAGGAGCAGAGCAGGAGCAGAGCAGGAGCAGAGCAGGAGCAGAGCAGGAGCAGAAGTAGTGTTGATGAGCTCATTTGGTGCCAGGATTTGAAATCTCAACACACCTGAGAAACTGCTTGTGCTTTGAAGTGTTGCATGCAGGGAAATCTAAGCCATGTGTTACCATATGTGCCCCTCATTATAGCAATGACACAAAATACAATCCCTCTATGAAGGACCACATGGTGTTTGATGGTTTGGTCCTCTGTATTAAAAGGTAAAACGTCCTGATGTCGAGTGAAGGGCCATGACTGCACCTGAATAAAACAAATGTGTGTTTTAGTGTGGACTAAACCTGCTCTTATCCACAGGCCCATCAGATCTGCTACTCTGTCCTCTGTCTGTTCTCCTACGTGGCTGCTGTGAAGGGGAAGGAGGCAGAGGGCAAACCCAAGATGCTGTCCCCGAGGCCCCTGCCCAGCTAGTGTCCCCCTGTCCCCCCCCGTCCCCTCGTGTCCCGTGTGTGAGCTGGACGTGCCTCTGGACACAGACTCTGACAATCTGTTAAAGCACATCTGTCCCAGCTCTGTGTGGTGTGGACCTGCGCTGTGACATGTACAGACTTCAACCTTCTCTTCTGATCACAGGCTTCCAATCGGCGTCCTGCAAACAGAAACTCCTGCTTTTTCACCGTGGAGAGAATACATCACATCCAGTTGTTTTTACACTAATTCAACGCACACGCCCTAGAATCGATTAACGCCGGGATTCTCGAAAAGATTTTTGAGGGGGGAAAAAATCTAGAAAATTAACACAAACACTGTCAGAACGGCGTGATGTGAATGATGTAAAAATAAGCAAATGCATTTAAATCTGAACAACTGCATTAAGCGTATCTTGGCACACATAAAACATGAGAGGATAGATATTGGTCCTTGTATGAGCCTATATGTTGCCTGCTGTTTAAACGGAGTAACTCTTGTGTCTTTGGTCGGGGCCGTGCGGCGTGTGCAGGTCCCGCGCGCCGCCCCCCCCGACCCCTCCCCTCTCGTGCTCGCGTGCTCCTCCTGTACAGTCCACGTCCCTCCCGAGCCCCGCTTCGTTCGGGGTGTCCCACAGCACGGCATGTTCACGCTCCGTCAGCTGTGTACACTATTCTGTGAGTGTTGTGTGTCCCTCGCTCCACTCCACTGGCTCATTACTGTTAATCTGTGTGTGCTCTGTTCTACTGCATGTAACTATGACAAAGACAAATAAATATTATATATATATTTCTATATATAGTATTTATTGAACTGAATATATTAACTGTACATTTCTGTGATAAATAGTTGATTTGCTAGATGTGCAATATGAAGGTAGTTAGCCATGCCAGAGAGTGGCTTTAACAGGGTGAACACTGTACCAGACTTGTGTGTAAATAGACGGGTGAATTTGATGATGTCATTGTGAACTACACAAAATGGAGTCTGTTTATGAGAATGGTGCAGCTCACTCTAGGTTCTGACGTTTCTCTCTTCACTACATTCCTAAACATGGACCAATCTAAGCTCTCCAGTGGAAAGAGCGGCTTATAGGACTTTCACCATCACACTGAATGACTTTTCTTTTTACTTTTTCCACACGTATCCTGTGAGCTCTTTGAGTAGATTAAAATATTCTCTGATCTGAACGACTCTAAAGGTGTATTCTGCTGTCATCTTGCTGTACTTCGCAGTCGCCAGCAGAAGGCCCGCACTCAAATCAAACCAAGAATCATCAATGTGATTCTACAACGATCAGTCAGCTCATTTTTCTTTTCAATCATCTTCTCTGAGCATTGAATCGAGCACAAGTGTAAAAGAAGCCTTCCTCTGCTGCGTTCCGGCTGTAGAGTGGAGCTTGCACCGTTCTCTGCGGCGGAGACCGTTTTGTGTGTAGTACCGAGTGTGAGTTTACCTTCGGGGTGGTTCTTGTCGTCCTGTGATGCTCCAGAGCGCGGGTCTGACTGTACATTCAGCAATATAGGTACTGCAGCTGTATCACCGGAAGATGGTTTATTTTTGACCTGCTTGTATTTTAGTCCTTTAACTGTGCACAGAAATCCACCAGTGAGAAATGAACGAGCTACGGTGCGCTCGACGTTTTTCAAGGTGGAACTGTCCTTGTGAAAGCCAACTGCTGGAATCAATGAAACAAGATGTCAGGTGTAAGTATTCCATGTTTGAGGAGATATTTATAGAACATGTACAGCTTTGGGAACAGAATAAAAGTTGGCCCAAATCGAGTCTTGGGTTCTTTGATTTATTGAACATACAACATGCATTCATACACAACCTGCTCAATTATGGCTCCATACATTAAAAAGGTGCATACATTTACATTTATTATAGCACAGGATTACCCAGGGACCTTAGTATATGTAACCCCATTTGTCGTCTTGAGTCGGTCATGTCTGATTTTTTAGTATTAAACATGTTTTGAGTAATTGGCTCTGTGCACAGCGTCGCCTGGGTGGCTCCGATCTCTAACACATTTTAGTTGAGAGGAAAATTGTGAAATAATATAAGGATTGTACACTTCTGGAAAAGTTGTTGATTTTTGGCAGGGTGTTGGGTATGGGCCTAAGGTTTTTAAAAATCCATGGATACAAGTTGGGATGCGCCCTCTAGTGGCCGGTCTACATAAAATCCAAAATGGCCCCTTTTCCACCTTCCTTTTGTCCTTTACTGTCGTATAATGAAACTTTTTCTACTTGACTTGATAAAAAGAATGTGATTTTAATACTTTCTTCCTATTTTAAAGCTATTTTCATGCCATATTTATTGTCATGGTCACTTTTAGCTTGAAAAACGGTCCATATCTCTGAAATGAAACAACATATAAAGATCATTCAGGCCTTGCCAAGCCATTTTCTGTGGCCCACAAAGGGTTAAAAGGTATAATTTATTATGTTGTGACTCCGGTGCATTGTGGGAGATGTAGTAGCGGCACAGTTTTTTCCTGTGAAGTGAGTGCATCCCGTCACTAGTAAGGCCGAGGAAACTTCCCCAAACTTCCCCAAAGAAAGGAAAAATTGATGCAGTAGGACGGCTATTTCATGAATGTTACAGAAGGAGTAATGTGAATGTTTTAACTTAAACCTTTAAATCAAATCCAATCCACTTTATTTCTACAGCACATTTCAGAAACAAAACCGTTTCCCAAGTGCTGCACAATACAAATAAAACATATCCAAGCTCTACTTAACTCTACTATACTCCATTAAGACAATAAAACTATTAAAATCAAATAAGAACAAGAATACCAGTAAATAATAAAAACATTAAAATAAACAAAATGAATAAATATGAAATGAAAAATTAAATACAGACTTAACATAACCCTAACATATCGATATTACAGTTGCAGTTTTAATTTTACAATCGGCTCTTTAAAGACAAACATGATCCAAATGTGGCCCTTGGTGAAAATGAGCTTGACACCCCTGCTCTAAACCCACATGTTCACTCTTAAAGGATAATATTGAACATGTTACCATCAATTTAGTGTGAAAAATACTGTTTTGTAAAAGCCTTTACTAGAAACTGGCTCTTTCTGAAATCAAGTCAACTAAGATGCAGAAATTGTTTACCCAAGCAAGAAATACTTAAATGTGACTTTTTCAGAGATATTGACAGTTTATTTTAGTTAAATATGACTATGATGATAGATTTAACATAAAAAAGACTAAAAATAAGAAGAATGTATCAGAACTGGATTCCTAGTATCAAACAAAGTAGAAAAATCGCTTAATACAACTAACTAACATTTAAGACTAAAAGAAGCAGAGATATAACCTTTTCTTGTTTCAGCAGGAGCCATTTTGGAATTTATGCACATCGGCCACTAGGGGACGCACTCCAACTTGTATTCATGGATTTTTGAAAACCTTAGGCCTATACCGAATACCCTGCCAAGAATTAAAAACTTTTCCAGAAGTGCACGATTTTCATGAATTCTCCCTATTCTTTGATTTTATTATTTTTTTTTAAAGATCACACAGTGGCTAGTGAGTTGTGGGTCCACATCCATAAAAACATGTTTAAGTGCTTCATAAATAAAGTGAATGAAAAACACGTCTGTTAAAACAGGTGCTTTGTGATGCTGTAAGTGCTCATTTTCTAAGCATAATAAATAATGCCATAAAGTGGACATGGCCATTTTGCCCAGAGTCAGCTTTTTTTCTTTTTTTTTTTTTATATGAGGAACACATAACAAAGCTGTTTATCACTGTTATACCAGGGTTTAAAAGGCTAAAAGCTCATAAAAGTCACATTGTCCATCTGCAACTCATCCATTGTGCGATTCATAAATATTTACTTGTTTTAGCTCGACTCTGTGAAAAACAGATTTAATAGGAGAGGATGGGGAGAAGGAAAACTGTTAGTGACGGAATAAACCAGATGCCACTGTGCATTCAGCGCGGCTCAGCTGGCACTAGTCCTGTGTGTCTTCTGTACGAACACTGCGTCCACTACGTCCAAGTTTAGTCTCATCATCACAGCGGCAGAGTCCGAACAGTCCACGTGGTTATTTACAGTGAAGTCATTACATTTTACACTTAAGACATTTTACATTTACTGACAAACAAGAGGCATCCCCCCTCAGGCACATTTGAGATCCCATTCTCTACCTTTTAATACTAGTGAAAAAATAAATATATTTTACAAAATAATTCCATTGTCTAAACACCTGACATCTGATCTCCTTAAAAGCTTTAAAATTTGAACTTGCACAGAACAGAAACTTGGTATGTTCTGCTGCTGAAGGATTTAAACCTGAGATGGCGCTGCGTGCTGTGCCTGTTCTCCATCTATGCCTTGTCTCCCTGCAGGTGGTGGCGCAGGATCCTGAGGCGGGACATGACCTCGTCCCAGTCCAGGTAACAGCCCTCCAGGAAGCGCGGACGCTCGGGGAAGCTCTCAAACGCTGTGCGGGCGTGCAGCAGCCGCCAGTTATCAAAGGTCAAGATGTCTCCTGCAATTAGCACAAAACAATCCACTCTGAACCATGTGGGACACACACTGAGCAGGGGACGAGGACGGGACTGCAATCCAATCAAGACCTTTTCAAAAATGTCCTCAACACAACAAAATATCCTGTCTTATTCTGCTTTATTTGGCTAGCTAGCATGTGACTGTAATGTTGTTTGAAAGAGACTCAGCTGATGAGATTTTTACTGAGCTCCAGTTAAGTCAGTTCTTTCTGGTCAAATTGTGTTAAAATAAAGACAGATTAAAGTTTAGTAAAGCCTCGGACAAAGCAGTGCCCTCAGTTAGCGTCACACCCACAGGGATTTTTGATGACATCAGTAGCATGTTTACTTCATTATTCATTTGTTTTAAGTATAAGTTTGTCAGTTCACATTTCAGTGTCATTGTGAACTCTTCTGGTCACTTCTGAACTGAATCTATTAAAACATACATTTCAAATCGAATCACAATGGTCGTCAGAAAAAGATTATATAGTCCGATACGTGATAGATGGAGCAATCGTTTCTAAGGTTTAGTATTTAACGTGGCCACTTTTTTTGTACTGGTAACAAACCTTTAGGTTTTTCCTACAGTGTGATTAGATTTGAGCTGAAGAGGGTCGAATAAAGAACTTCTCTGTCTATTATAGATACAAACTAACTTGTAAATATGAATGAGTTTCAATATGAATGTTTATATTTTCCTATAATACATCACAGTCCTGGCTTTAGGCCTCATGGTTCACTTCTTGAACATTACAATCAGAGTCTTTTGGTTTATGTTTACAGGAGATTTTACTGTTAATTGTCTCTGCATTCAAATCTATGAAGATTTAAGGCAATATTTACACATTATGGGCATAGGAACTCTGTAGTCTCTTAAAGCTCTTACTGTTAAAAAAAACTAAGCAAAGCAAAGTCTGATCTCATCAGACCTCAGAAGCTCAGCAGGGCTTGGATGGGAGAGCACTGGGAAAATCAGGTGCCACAGTGGAGCGCCAGTGGCAAAAAATGTTGTTGTGTCCTTAGGCAAAACATTTCACCCATATTGACTAGTATGCACGTGGTGTGTGACTGAGCGTTGTGAAGGTTGGACGGGGCAATGACAGTCTGCCCCAGGGCGGCTGTGGCTAGAGTAGTATCTTACCACCACAGAGTGTGGAGTGAATGATGCTGTGTAGAGCTTTGGGCGTCTTCAAAGGCGCAGTATGAATCCAATGATTCAAACTGAAGTGTGTTGAAGAGCTGCAGAGGCTGCACTAGCACTGATTCATGACTGGCTGAAGGTGCTGGGGTTTATGTAGAAACCATTCAGACCTTTCAGATTCAAACCTTTTAGGTTCAAACCAACTGAATTTCAGCACTAAACCCAAATAATGCTGATTGTACTTTCTGATTGGATAATTGGGTGGGTGTAGATGAGCAGGGAGTGCACAGACCTGGCTCCATCCTGAGCGTCACCATGTTGTCCTCTCTGTTCATCATGTCCTCCAGGGCCTTCAGCGCTCTGTAGAAGGGCTGCACCTGCTCCAGACGCAGGTCCAACACTGAGTCTCGAGTGGCGTTGTTCAGGTTGATCCTGGTCACTTTGCCCTCAGAGTTCACACTGTGGTCACACAAACGGTCAGTCAGCTATTTAGTTAACATGCAGCATAGTGACTGTAGGAGGTAGTGCAATAATAGACTGAAATGAGTTAAAACCAAAATAAATAAATAAATTCTAGATTGAATGTTTTGAATTTTGCCAACAGCTGGTGCCAATGACTTTTATAGCTGGGGTCGCAGGTGCTATGTCATGTAGATATTAGATTAAAAAAACAAAACTGAAATCATGAGTGTTTACTGCCAGTAGAGTCCAGTAGAGGGCAGCATTGTATCAGTAATAGCCTCACTGAATGGCACAGTGCTGGTGTTGGAGGAAAGCAGAGCGGCTGTAAAAGGCCCTAGATTCTCAGAAAGGACATAAATCTGGACTAAAGACAGTACTAAAGTAAAAGTGTCGAGGGAGTACTCACTGGATGACGCGGTGCTTGGACTGCAGTCTGAAGGGGCAGTAGTCCGAGCCTGTGTCGGTGAAGTCTATGGAGAGAGTGGAGAGGCTGTGGAAGGCCTCGGGGTCCTCTGCTCTCAGCTTCTCTGCAATGTGGAACCCGTCCACTAGGAGATTCTCCCCCCCACGCGCCGCCTGGCTGATGCAGTGCAGGAACTGGATCTGTACAAAGCACCACAGGACAGCTCAGACAATTATGTAGTGTGTTCAAATATTATATTATATTATGAAATAAAGAGCCCAATATTATACTATTTTCTGATGTAAGGAGTTTTGCTTTGTTTCATTCACATGTTTGACACACAAATAACACTGCATATTTAGACTGCATTCTTCTCTCTCCACCTTGTGATGTCATGTGGTGATACAGGATGTGTGCCGCTGTGTTTTTAAACTCCATACACCTTCACGAGAATCATTTGGATCATTTCAGCCCTGGACCTGCCAATCCCTCAAACAAAAGGTAAAAGTAGCGGTCAACTTGAAAAACTTCATGACATCACAAGGTGCTACAGAGCATTTTGAGCGTTGGAGATGTAGACAGACTAATAATGCAGGATTACTCAAATGTTTGAAGGAAACAAAACACAACTGTGGTGTTTTTTGATGAGGTAACAATCTAACAATCTAAGATGGCTTCAAAATCAGACCAACTGTTACTGAAAGAATTAACACTTGCTACATTTACATGAGAGCTTTAATTCCAAAAAAAAAAGAAAAAAAGAATAAAATAAAAATTTATTCCACTTTAAAAAAGACCATGTAAACACTTAATTCCTCATGAAAATGATTATTCTGAATTAAACTTAATTCTGAAGTAAGTGGGTGATTTATTCAGATTTTAAAGCCGAAAAATAATTATTAAGTTTGTCTTCTTCCTCCTTCTCCGACACTCTTCCCTTCTCCTCCTCAGCTGACAGACTTTGGTAAAGCGAGATGAGAGAATTCTCCAGCTGCTGCGCAATTATCATCGAAACAGCTGAGAAAAAGTTTGGATCATGTGTCCGCGGCGTAACGACAAACCGAGATGACGAAAAAGTCGGTAGCAGCTGAAGTGTTTGTTTTCTTCCAGTAGACATAAATACGTTGGTGTCTCTGTCCAATCAGAATCCTTTCCCACCCCCAGACGCTGAGTGAAATTAAATAAAGGCGGTTTAACGTGTTTTCCATGTAAACTCGAAGGAGAATATTTTAATTCAGAACTATTTAATTCAGAACAATTAAGTCAGAATTAAAAAAACATCATGTAAACGTGGCCATTGTGTTAATCATTGTACACATTTCTGATAGTGGTGTTGGATTAAACATCTAAACTTTATTATTTCTGCCAAAGTCCACCGTACATATTTGCAGTACATAATAATACTCACTCCTGGAGGATGGTGGAGGGCGGGGTAGTCCGTGTGGAAGCTGCACTTCTCGGCGGTGTATGCCACGTTGTTGGCCATGGGCTTATCCTGGACCTTAAACGTGTGTCTGGGGAGAACACAAACTTACATCACAAAACGCTATTACAAAGTTACTATCTTGGTTCACTTTGTGTTTACTTTGCCCAAGTTTAATCCCTATAATTTTGTGTCCAAACAGTCACTGCGTTTACATTTGTGGAGAACTCAGAGATAAACAACCGAATGCAGATCGTCTTTGTCCAGGCTTCAGGCAGGCCAAAGAACTGAAGAGGTGCGCACGACGCATTCAAGTGCTTGTAGTAAATTAGAATTAGCTACATTTTTTGTAGTTTGAGATTTTTCCCACCCAATCCATGTACAGGACACCATATTGTCCATGATGAGTGTATTTGTATTTGCACTGAGGAAATTAAGGAGCCCATCTTGATCCAGAATGTTAGTCAGGAGCATCTAGCTGGAGTATGTTTTAGTAGGGCTGTGCAATTAATCACATTTCTAATACATGCATCACGAATTTCAGACTTTCGGTCATTGTGCAATGCATACTGGGAAGGATTATCCGAAAAAGTGAGCATCAAACCGTCATGTTTGTTTTCCCAGTGGGATGTGTCTATTGACAAAGTCAGTCTTTTCTAGTCTTTTGAACAATATCACTTTTGTGTCTGGTTCTGATATTGTCATATTTTAGTTTTGGGATTGGGACATTGTAATTGTGTGGTCATTGGATGTACTAACAACTATTTTTCAATTCCGCTGGGAAGAGAAACAGTTTGAACGGAGGTTTGCAGTCACACACATCTGACTCCCTTTTGCAGTTATGAAGTTCGCAAACAAATTTCTCAAGTCATTTTCCACTGTTAGGACATCCAACAACCACACAATTACAATGTCCCAATCCCAAAACCAAAATATGACAATATCAGAACCAGAAACAAAAGCAATATGGTTCAAAAGACTAGAAAAGATTGGCTTTGTCAATAGACACATCCCACTGGGAAAACAAACATGGCGGTTTGATGCTCACTTTTTCGGATAATCCTTCACACTGTTCATTGCGCAATGACCGGAAGTCCAAAATTCATGATGCATGTATTGAGATTTCAACTATTGCTCTATTCACTTACCAAAATGTTACCTTCGCCTCAGAATGATACAGTATGTGTGCTTGTTCTGCCCCTAAAAATCTGAAGCAAAACCACTTTTCTAATCCACACGAATTAAAAGATCAGATATTACGCAAAATGAATTTATCTGCCATGTGGTATTAAAGGCTTTTAGTTATTTTGTACTTTTTAAGTGCCTCAATTTTTTCAACTTTGTTTTCGAGCCTGGTCCCTATACTAAAGAGCACCAAAAGGACAATTCTACACAATTTTTGTATATCCAAGTAGCACTCCTGCCCCTCAAAGTTTTGCAATGTTAGAATGGTGTTACCTCAAAAACACACCTGGAGTTGTGTTTTGTTTTATTCACGCATGTTTGAGTAACCCTTTTACTGGTCTGTCTCCATCTCCAAAGCACAAAAAAAAACTAATTATGATGTCACGAAGCAGTAGTTTAAGACTTAACGGCTACTTTTTGTCTTGAGATCAGTAGAGATTTGCAGTTCTAGGTTTGAAAAGATCCAAATGAGTCTAGTGAAGGTGTGTGGAGTTTAAAAACACAGTGGAGCACTTCCTGTATTCTCATATGACATCACAAGGTGGAAGTGTTTTTTTCTGTCTGACAGAAGAACTCAGCCTAAATATGCAGAGTTTGTGAGTTAAACAAACAAATTAATGAAACAAAACACAACTCCAAGTCTGTATGTGATGTAACATAGATCAGAAAATACCACAATATAGGCCATTTAAACACAAATACACAAATAAAATATTCAAGGGCTCTGCACTTTACTTTGAATTTTCATGATTCCATAATCAGCCTAATAATTGTGATAAATTGTATCAATGCCCTGATTAAGTGGACGTCCCTCACAGTCTTACACAGTCTTACCCGTAAAAAGTGAGGCGGAGGTAGCCAATGCGCTCTGCCAGTCGGGCCACGTGTCCGGGCTCCTGCGGCGCCCCCTGCAGGAGAACCACACCGATGCGCCTGAGAGCCAGGAGCCAGGCCAGAGCCGCGCGGTCGTCCTGCAGCACCTCCTCAAAATGAGCGGTGGGCACACGCAGAGACGAGCCCCAGTGCACACGCTCTGCAAAACAACGACACGACCGTTTACTACGACTCGACACGACTGTTTAAATGAGTCAATCTGCTTCATGTTTAAGAAAATAAAATCAGAAAGGAAATGCTCGTCTTGGTCTTGTGCAGCAAAGACGGGGTTACACCTCTATGATCTATGAACTGCCAACACATACACTGAACTCACCATGTTACCTCTTGTTATTTATTGTTTTGAAAATGCTATAGCCACATGAAATATGTTATTAGTTTTAGTTTAGTCTTTGCCGCTCTGAGCCCCTCTCCCCGTGCCCCCACTCCCCCTTCAGAGCGCTATCTCAACACAAGTGTACATTCCACTAATGAAACTACTGCACATTGCATCAGGTTAGTGAAGTTGTAGTGTATCATTTTGTTTCCTCCTTTTGTATACTTAGGGAAAATGACAGGAGCATGGATGGTGCAGGCTTATGGGCGGAGCTTTGAGTGAAACAAGGTCATTTTCTATAAGGAAATACATAACATGATTAGAAGCTCAAAACAGTACATTTTTTGGATGGTTTCCGTCTTAAACAAAACCAGACATCTCCTTGTAAACAAGCAGGTGTCATAAGTTGCAGGACAGGTCTGTGAAGAGGCAAGTGCTCCCCATACAGCTGCTTTGTACATATTTTTCAGCAATAAAAGCATACTTAATTGATTTTGTACATTTATTCATGAAATCTTCTGCAGTGGGGCTTTAAAAGATCTTCATAATATGCAATTCATATTCACTTCATGACATCATCCATGTATGTCATAAAAAATACATTTTAAAAATCATAACATAAATATTTCCAACAAATCCCAGAAAATGCCAGTTCTTCCCCTACCTAAGCCTCAGCCTTTGACAGGGCACAGTGCAGATTAATGGGTTGCGGAGAAGGCTCCACAGGTCTCTGACAGAGCGCTGGAAAAAGACAAATCCCGCTCCCGCTGGCTCTGCACACGACACGCTTTTGCACACCGCCCGGCTCCACCAACAGCTGCTAACAACATTACCAAGAGGCTGCGCCGTGAGCATGCTGCTGCACATGCTGCTGCACACGCTGCTGCACATGCTCACATGTGTGCACAGGAGAAGTGAAAACAGCTAGCATTTCTCAAACAGCATGGAGCTAACAGGCTGAAAGAGAGGGAGACACAGCGGGGAGCGGAGCATGCATTATTCACACACACTTAGGATCAGAACAGAGACGTGAGAGGATTTCACTTTGATACAATACACACTGTGAGAATCCAAATGTAGGCCAGTGTGAGGAGGCGTCTGGGACAGGATCATTAGGACACTGATTATGTCAAACTCTCAGAGGTCTTACAAAAGTATTCAACAATGAACAAAAACAATCAAATGACAGGGTCTGTGGCTGCGTGCTCAGGGTTAGTCATGAGGTAGGCTAAAACGATTGCTGTTATTAACAGCAGTCAAAGTTTAGCATTGAAATGATCCGTTTATTCCCCAAAGGCGTGTCAAAGTGATTCACAGTAGTCATTATTCATTCAGTCCTCACTCAGGGGTGGTAAGCTTCTTCTAGCTGCCCTGGGGTAGACTGATGGAAGCACAGGCCAATCCAACTAGCACCAATCACTCACACACCGCAGAATATTAGACAAGGTGGGTGAGGTGTTTTGCCTAAGGACATCCGTATGCACTGCTCTGAATTGGGATTTAACAGCAAACCTAAAGTTGGTGGATGATGCACCAAACAATCACTGAGTCACTGCCACCCAAGAGTAACAGTCAGATCATTACCGTGATGTTCCGTAGATTAGTAGAGCTGAACTACTTCATCTTTGGAGAAGATGGCCTGAATGTAGACAATGTGTCAGACGCAAGAATGAAACCAAACACAACTCCACATGTTTCCTTTGTGTGAAGTTCTGACCTGACATCAGAGAGAAGCAGCAGCAGACAACACTGTAAAAGGGACTGAAAGGTGGAGCTGTGAGGGGCCCTTGATTCACTCACACACACACACACACACACACACGAGAGAGGACCATACAACATGTGGCGTGGCCTTTGGCCCCTCTGCTTCTCTGTCTGAGCTCGTGAAAGAGGAGCTCTCCTGTGAACACATGTACACTCTGGTTTCCGCTCTGACAGACCACAGCTACAGCCTGAAGATAGACAACAACCACACCTCAGCATCTCTCTGAGGGAGCAATGCAAACAATCAGGAATAAAAAATAATCCAGTACACTTAGGTTATACACAACAATACAGAACAGAAAACTGAAACGTTTTCAAAAAGGCTATGTAAAAATAATGTGATTTGTACTTTTACAAGAATAATCAGGAAGTGCACTTCATAGTGACAAGGATGTTTGGAATGCAGACGGTTCTGTTTCTAAGACCATAAAAATCAGGTTCAGGGCTTTTATGTATGGTTCTTAATATTGAAAGAGTGACAATGCCAGTCCCTGTCTCAATAATCAATAATTAGTCATTTTTGTTCTGTTTTAAAACAGTAGTAGACAGCAGAACTTGAGGGTATATGATCATCCCTTCTCTCTTCCTCCCTCCTCTCTCCTCCTCTCTCTCTCTTCCTCACATACTTTCCACTTGTGGTAAGGGGCTGTTGTCAGACTGCTCTCTCTTGTGTCTGGGGGGATGTCCAGTGTTCGGGGTGAAAGATGACTTGTTTCTGCTGCTGGCCTCGGGGAACACCTCCGTACCCTGACAGGAGCGTCTCTCTGGAGCTCTGGCTCTCAGCTCCACTTCAGCCACTGCCACTCAAAAAAAATAAATAAAAAGAATCACACAGAATTTCTCCAAAGGAACACCCAGGAAGGCAGTGTGTGACAGGGCTGAAATCTGCCCACAGGCTCAGAGGTAAAGGTGTAGGACAAATGTGCAGTGTGGTGAACTGCAGGCTGCTTTTTCCTCTTCGCCTGCTCTTGTCTGGTGCTCCAGAACACAGCACTTATCATTCGCTTTTGATTGGACTCCTGTGATAAGAACAAACCAATCAGCTGGTTTCACAGAGAATCAATGGAAAGCACACTGCAGGTCGATCAAGGATGAGAAAGCAGAAAAAAAACAAAAACAATGCACTGAAAATGGCTTCCTTCCTTTATAAGTTATATCAATAGAAACAAATATGATAAATTTATGTTGCATTTTTCTACCTTTCAAGGCCCCTGAAAGGCACATCCACACACTTTCATATACCAGTGTACAAAGACACACGGTTGAGGTGGGTTAAGTCTCTGACATAACATGGGCAAGTCTGTGGGAGCTAGAATCGAACCACCAACCATTGATGCTTATGCCAAGAGAGGGATTCAAACCGCTGACCTTTGGATCACAGGATAGGCACTCCACCAACTGAGCCAATGCGAGGAAACCTTATGGGAAAATGCTGCAAAAATTATACCAAGATAAATCAATACTAAAACTATTGAAAAATACTTGACCAGGTATTGACACTTTTCAGAAGTATCACTATATAGTAAAAATAAGAGACATAAAAAAACCCAGCATACTGCACAATTAAGACTATACTGTTGAAATGGGAAAGTGCACTGTGTTTCACAGTGCAGAGAGGTACTAGCCTGATTCATCAGACCTTGCAGTGTTAGAACTTGTTCGCTCGACAGTAGGCGGGTACTTTTTATCATTTAACCAATCGCTGCTATTTGGTAGTCACATATGTAATGCGCCGCTAACGGGGCTAACTGGTATATTAAGCTTTTCCCAAATCCCGTAGGAAGAAGGGCAATAAAGTTTTTCCTCTTGATGAAATTCACCAAACATTCTCTTTATTCTGGCTTTAAATCCTTGATCTCGGGAATCATTAACAACACAGAATATATGGCTCTTCACTGATTGGCTGGTGCCTGAACTTGCACTTCTGGGGGTTTTGCGAACCATCTAGTGTATTTTGATTCCTGGCCTAGTCGCTGGAGAGAAATGAAATTGAGCGGAGGCACTAGGTGGCGCCAGCCTGGCTAGAGCAGTACACCTTGGTACTGTAACAGGCATTGAGTATCAAGCCTTTCAGAAAGCCTGACTGTCCCCTGCCTACATCCTGTTTCCCTTTGTATCAAAATGTAGTTTGAAATCTTAGTCTTGTGACAACTAGTTGCATTTAAAAATATGTCAAGGTTGCGAGATGTCATCCATCCATGAGCACAAGGGTGAACTGCTCCTCATTACAAAGCCTGATGAACCTACAATAGGCTCTTTCAATCATTTCTCCTTGATTGCTAAATTTACAGATGATGTTCAGGGACCACCCGGGTTAGCTCTGTGCTGGACTCGGCCTGTTAGTTTTAATACTGTACAACACATCCATGAGTAATTACACCTGCAAGAACGCTGACTATGAACTGCTAAACGAATCCAAGAATCCCAGGCTTTTCATAACAGGTTTGTATCTAAACTGTAGGGTGATCTGCTTTTATACAGAATAAAAACCCATGGATCCTTACATGATTGCACGCTTTAGATTCAAGTGTCATAACTCCTACACTTTAATTCTACGTTCCATTACCCTCAGCTCTGGAGAACAGTCGTCTGCAGCTCCTTCACACAAACACAGGTCTCTTTGTGAGGCTGACGTGAAGACGGAGCCCGGCCCACGGCACAGAGCCCACACTGTTTAACCATTTCTGTCTCTTTCCCCTGCACAGCTCAATGCCTCTGCGCCACACCAGGCCTCCCCGCCAGCTCCTGCCCTCCTCCTCTCCCACCCCGCGCACTCACCCGTGGCCGGGAGAATGAAAAATCCAATCACAAATCACCGCAGCTTTCCAGAGCAGCAGAAAGAGGAAAGGGGATTATGACCTAAGTGTGAAATGAATAAACACGACATTATGGGGGAAGTTTGAATGCAAGTTCACAGCGGCGACGCATTAGGCCAGTAAGATGGATCGCGAATGGAGTCGAAATTGCAATTTGAATGTTTGCAAATCGGTAAATCTCAAAAGCTGCAGTTAGTCAAAGGATATTAAGCCGTCTGTGAGAACGCAATGTTTCATCTCAAC